TATTCTACCCCGGATCTTCGCGGCTCTCCTCTTCTCACTTCATCCCGACTCTATCCCCTACTAGGAGCAATAAATAACAATGGTTAATGATTGTTTTCATGCAGATAGAAAGTTTGACAACTAGTTACATCACTGGAAAGGGGTGATATGAAAAACATGACTCACTCACGCATTGTATAATGAAAGAGCTAATAACTTTTCGTGCCTTCAAAATATGTCAACAGTTCAAAACCAAACCTCTTCGCGCACACCACAAAGTAGGCCCCGAAATTAAACGGCTCCGGTCCTTGCTAAATACAAAACACTACAATGGGTCAATTGCTAAATAGAGACTACGAAACTAAACCAAAATAAACAGAAATTTGCATAGATCACGGAAGCATCGCACTTAGGACGCCAGCCAGGAACAGGCACAGGAATTAATGGTATGTCTGTCTTAACGACTCGTCAAACTAACCGCGACTCGACAAACACATGTTCGTCACTGTGGGGATTGTCCGCGAGGTTTGTCCCCAGTTTGACACAGGCCACTCACAGTCGCTGACAGCTGTGTGACAGTCACTATGAGGCAGAAGATGGCGATGGTATGTTATCAAATCTTTTTGTTATGAATATATTTTCAATCAGTCATTCATATTTTACTACGGAGGCCTTTCAGGGCCATTTATTTATTTTTTTATTTTTCTTGAAATTTCAAGATACAAAGTTGAAATTTCAAGATGTTTTGTTAAAATTTCAAGATACTAAGTTAAAATTTCAAGATACATACTAAGATGAAATTTCAAGATAATGATCTTGTTAATCTTGATGATGATAACTTATTATCTTAAAATTTCAAGATACTAAGTTGAACTTCGAGTTATTATCTTAAAATTTCAACTTTTTATCTTGAAATTTCTAGATTATCATCATGAAATTTCACCATAACACCTTGAAATTAAAAAAAACCCAACCAAATGGCCCTCAAAGTAATTAAGTTTACAAATACTGATTGTTAATGAATATATCTTGCAACAGTGGCCGAAAAATATTCTGTTCCAAAATCACTTATGGCTCCCACATTAAACCGTGGTAAAACGATGTTCTGTTCAAAACGACGTTAAACGTTATTCCACAATGTACTCTTAACAAGCAGAGTCAACTCTCGATATTTCGACATAGTCCACGACGTTGTACTTAAGGTAAGAGAAATATGAATATACGGTAATTGTTATCTACCGCGCTTCTAAAGCCGCTCGTCCAATAAAAGCTCGTCATTCGATCAGTGATTTATATTAATTCCCCGATAAATGTACTGAACACACCATGATAATAATTATCACACTTCAATGTCAGAATGATGAGATCTGATTGGTCCACGTGATCTTGATAAAATGTCGCGTTACCGGCCTTGAAGGGTCATACATTTCTCAGCGGGGGAGGGGGGATAAATCGAGCACTGCAGACTGCATGTGTTTTTCTGAGAGGCAGGAGAAAGCCTTAAAATCCCGCTTCAAAGCAAAAAGCCGCACGCTTTTCCCGAGTCAGTGGAAGTCACGTGACATAGCACAAGTTAACCCCAGCTCAATCAAGCAGCTCTTTTCTATCAATTTGGAATTTATTTGATTTATTTTACAATGTCATATTAACACATGTCGGTAGGATAAACTCTTGTAGCAGGATCACTCGGAGTACATGGGATTTTACGCGTCTCGAGTTATGTTTTATCATATGTGCTGCACGTGCAGTTCATGCAGCACGTGATATTTGAATGTGCAATTGACATATGAATACATTATCGGGATGACGTCTCTTTGTATCACAAAGGCGGCTTCGTCTTTTTGAGTGAATACGCATGACCAATGGGCAAAACATGTGAACAATTTTGATATTCCGGGGCCCCGTTCCACAAAACGAGTTTAGCATAACTCAGTTAAGGCTTTAGGTGAGTGAATAAGTGATTTGTATTTTACGCCGCTTTTAGCAGTATTCTTTGCGTAACACGGCAGGGTACCCAAGAATGGGCTTCACAAATTGTACGAATGTGGAGATTGAACGAGCAAAGAAGGCCTCCCCACTTGCTATGGTGCAATATGGGAGTTACGCAAGGACGAGGGTATTAGCGCTAAGATAGCTTTGTGAGTGCAGCCCTGATGAGTACTTTAAAGCACTGACGCATAATGGAAGCGTCACTGAATGCTCAGACCTTCTGAGGGGTGTTGTGTTTCAATAGACGTGTTTCATAACGCCAGTCATGCGAGTCCCTTTAAATGTCTCAATATGTTACTTTGTGCTGTAACAATGTGCCGCATACACCGTGACGTCTCATGTCCTATTTGCGTTTTGTATCTCGTGTTTGATAAGGTTTTGGGGTTTTTTCATTTTCGTTTTGGATTTAGGTTTGTGTGCTCTAAAGTTTGAAGTGTTTATGAAAACAGCGTAACCTTGGACAGAGTGCAAAACCAGTAAAAATACGGCATTACATCAAGTGAGGCCTTGTTTGTGTTTGTAGAAAGAAGAAGGATTAAAACGACATTTTTAACAAATATGTTTATGTGCATTTGTTTTCTTATCACTGGTATTGACAATTGCCGATGCATTTTAAAAATTGTCTTATCAAGTCATACTCGAACTTTCCTTGTCATTTTCCGTTCACCCGTGAACATCCGGGGTAGAATAGGTCTACAGCAACTCTTGCTTAACGTGGAAGGCGACTTTGCTTGTCGTAAGAGGCGACTAACGGGATCGGGTGGTCAGGCTCGCTGACTTGGTTGATGCATGTCATCGTGCCCCGATTGCGTGGATCGATGCTTATGATGTCAATCACTGGACTGTCTGGCCTAGACTCGATTATTTACAGACCGCCGTCATAAAGTTTGGAATATTGCTGAGTGCGGCGTTAAACAACAAACAAGCAAACTAAGAGCATCCCTAAATGCATGTTTCTCATGTTTGTAACAAACAAAACAAAACAAAACAAAACAGAACAGAACACAAAAAACACTAGTGTCTGGACCATGCAGCTCTCTGCCGTCGCCTATGCGCAAAACCAGTTGTCACTTTTATAGTTTTTTTATTTATTTATTTTTACCATGTTAGTGTCAACATCAGGTAGCCTAGTGGTAAAAGACTTCGTTCCTCACGGGAGTGGCTAAGATTTTATTATCACATTTAAACATTGTGTGACGCCCTTCCTTGGAAAGCCGTGTCATGAATTGTGGACTATTGCCAAAATGTCATACAACCTCACTTATCCAAACACGTGTTATTACCTAAAGAAGGACCGCCTCCGTGGTCTAATGGTAGAGCGTCCGCCCGGAGAGCGGAAGGTCCGGGGTTCGATCCCCAGCCGCGTCATACCAAAAGACGTTAAAAGATGGTACTTGTTGTTACCCTGTCTGGCGCTCGGCATGAAGCGGCTAAAACAAGGACTGGTCGGCTCAGAGTCAGTATACTGTGTCTGAGTGGGGTATTCATGTTAAACTGCAGCATGGTATCTCAGTGAGCTAGCACTATAAATCGGCATCAGTCCGGACTAGTACAAGCAGCCACACAAACACACACACGTGCATGCACGTCGCTATATAAGTGCAATAATCTTGGACGCGACGTTAAACCCCATTTCACCTCACCTCACCAAAAGAAGTGTTCTCACAAATACAAATACGTTGAAGACCTTGCCCAATAAACCAATAACAATGGCGCCGTCCACCCCCTGCAGATACAACAGGAATGTCACCTGTTGTCATCACTGATTTTCAGTAATACATTCCTATAAATTTTCATGGCGAAGTTGCCTTTAACTCCCAATGGAATCTGTTTCGGCAGAATATCGAAACTAATAATTCTCTGGCGTTGACGTTTTATATTGTCTGTTTATGAACTGTGACCTTAATGATTATATTTTTTGCTACGTGAGAGGTCATTCACGATGGAAGTATGTTCCAGGTATACATTTACGCCCCGTTAATCAAGCTGATATCTGTTCCACTAAAATCTTCCACATTAGCATGTCTGGGTGAAGTGAGTGAGTGAGTTGGGTTTAACGCCGCTTTTAACAGTATTCGAGTTATATCGCGGCGTGTCAGCTTAATGTGGGAGGAAAGCCCGAATTGATGCAGGTCTCGGACGTTTACCACTTCGGTGAAACCAACGAGCACGGGTATGGTGCTGACAAACCTTGAAACATAATCGGGGAGAACCTGGATTCGAACCCACAATCATAGGTTTCTGGCGTACCCAAGGGACGCAATTCTGCACAGCGAATCTCGGCGCCTTAGACGGCTGGGCCACCCGTGCCCCCGGGTGAAGAATCAACGCCCCCGAGTTATTGGTATGCGCGTTGACGTTGAAAACAGTAATTCTCCGGTTAGCGCAGTGTCCGGAATAACGATATACCCGAGTGGATCGGGTGGTCAAGCATGGGTGTCATTATGCCCCGATGACGTTGGTCGTTGGTTATACTATCAGCCACTGGATTTCGTTGACTCGTTATTAAGAGTGAGTTGCTGGGTATGGTTTTACGCCGCTTTTAGCAATATTCCAGCAATATCACGGCGGGGGACACCAGAAATGGGCTTCACACATTGTACCCATGTCGGGAATCGAACCCGGGTCCTCGGCGTGACGAGAGATCGCTTTAACCACTAGGCTACCCGACCGCCCCTTCTATTGGATGTACCCTCAACCATACAGACACATTCCTGCAGTATTAGGCATCGTATGTGATATTGCTGGAATATTGCTAAAAGCGGCGTAAAACCACATTCACTCACTACGGCGGGGGACACCAGAAATGGGCTTCACACATTGTACCCATGTCGGGAATCGAACCCGGGTCCTCGGCGTGACGAGCGAACGCTTTAACCACTAGGCTACCCGACCGCCCCTCTTTATTAAGAGGTAGCTGTGATATATTTGTAGCTTAAATGGTTCTGGATGCGGCTCTATACAACATTCACTCACACTAACCCCGCCCATTTATAAAGGCAACCATAATTCAAAGATTCCTTACTTTTCAGGATGTGAGCGCCCGGTCAGCGGACGCCTACCAGAGTCACAATGATGAACGGAACCAGACGGCACCAGACGTGGAGGAGAGGGGTCAATGGGGCAGCAAGGCGGAGTTCGTTCTGTCCTGTATCGGACTGTCGGTTGGGCTGGGCAACGTCTGGAGGTTCCCCTACCTGGCTTACAAAAATGGCGGGGGTGAGTCTGATGTTACCATTGTCGTCGGAGAGTGAGTGAGTGTGTATAGTTTAAAGCCCCCTTTACACAGGGCTGTGACCTTTGTGCCACCTTTGAGCGATCAAAAACTGGCAAGGACGTTCAATGGTCTCCTTAACCCAGACCCGTGAATATCCGGGGTAGAATAGGTCTTCAGCATCCCATGCTTGCCGTAAAAGGTGACTCTGCTTGTCGTAAAAGGCGACTAACGGGATCGGGTGGTCAGGCTCGCTGACTTGGTTGATGCATGTCATCGATCCCAATTGCGTGGATCGATGCTCATGATATCAATCACTGGATTGTCTGGTCCAGACTCGATTATTTACAGACCGCCTCCAGATAGCTCGAATATTGCTGAGTGCGGCGTTAAACAACAAACCAACCAACCAACCAACCAACCAACCAACCAACCTAAACCCAGAAAATCATGTTTCTATGTAACTGCTCCAGCAGTTGTTCAGAGTAACTGCTCGAGTTGTTCAGCGTCTGCAATCCCAATGAAACACTGCAGATACAAGCCCTCTATTTATAGGCAGGCTGAGGAGGCATTACATGTAGCTCAAAGGAGGCAGAAAAAAGGCAGAAGCATTGCCATGGTGTCTCAAGGGTTGCCGTGCTCGCCGAATTGAGGCACGGCGGTCACCACAGTCATCGTTCAATGCACGCTGTTGGTCGCCCAAAGGAGGCACAAGGGGGGCAGAAGCATCACCCAGATTGACGGGAAAAATTACCTGGCGGCAATTGGGCGACCACTGTGCCTTCATTCTGCAACAACGGCAATGCTTGTGCCTCCCTTCTGCCTCCTTTGAGCCACCTTTGAACAACCAATCTCCTCATGTTCAAAAATTCACGGCGACCATGGCGTCCATGGCGATGTCTGAAAATCCTGTGTACCACCTTGGAACGACCTAGGCAACCAGTCTGCCTCCTTTAAGCCTCCAACGACGACCTGGCAAATTTTATGGTCGCACACGGGAGGCACGAAGGTCGCAATCCTGTGTACAGGCCCCATTACGTCACTTCTAGCAATATTCCAGCAATATCACGGCGGGGAACACCAGAAATAGGCTTGACACATTGTACCCATGTGGGGAATCGAAACTAGGTCTTCCGCGTGACGAGTGAACGCTTCAACCAAAAGGCTATGTATCCGCCCCTTGGCGTCTGAGAAATAATTATCTTCGACATTCCGATGTCCCGGGACCCGTGAAGATTCCGGGTTAGAATAGATCTTCAGCAACCCATGCTTGTCGTAAAAGGTGACTAAAGGGATCGGGTGGTCAGGCTCGCTGGTTGATGCATCGTTTCCCAATCGCGTGGATCGATGATGCTCATGATGTCACTCACCGGATTGTCTGGTCCAGACTCGATTATTTACAGACCGCCGTCATATACCTGGAATATTGCCGAGTGCGGCGTTAAACAACCAACCAACCAACCAACCAAAGCAACGTTATACACCAATCACTCACTCTCTCCTCCTTTGTTTTAGCCGCCTTCCTGATCGCCTATCTGGTCCTGCAGCTGCTGATAGGGAAACCCATGTACTTCATGGAGCTGGTCATGGGGCAGTTCTCGGGGAAAGGACCCACAGGCGTCTGGGAGATGAACCCCAGCGCTAAGGGTGAGAGAATCATCTTTGTTAATAGGCACCAAGGATCTTAAATTGATTTGATTTTAGAATTCTGTTTATATTTTGTTTAAAAAATCCGATCTGCAAGCTCCGGCGTTCATACAGTTTGGCCCTCACTCTATGAAGGTTCATACTCCAATGAACCAACACAAAATGAAAGTCAATTCTGTATTAAATTACTTGACAATGCACTTATGAATAGATGTGTTCATGTTTACCTTCACATGAAGACTTTGTTCATTGGGTATTTGTGCAGCTAAATATGGTAAATTGAGTCTCATCGTAAAATCTACTTAAAAGGATGCACACCTTTCAGAATAAAAACATATCAGCTCTTCAGTGGACCAAATAATCAATTGTTCAGGCCTAGCCTATCATCAGTTAACTTTCGTGTTCCACCTATTCCAACGCGGTGATAACTAAGGTCCAATCATGTTGCAGGTATTGGTATCGCCATGGTGATCATCTCCCTCGACGTCGCCATCTACTACAACGTCATCATGGCCTACACCCTCTTTTACTTCTTCTCCTCCATGCAGGCCGTGCTGCCATGGACGAAGTGTAAAGAGGTGAGTTACGCAACTGTCTGGATTAACGAATATGTATATCGTAGTAATATCCCTTCAATATGAAGCCTGACTTCCTTTCTTACTATTTTTATACATTTGCCCCAAAAATTCAGGTCGGTAACCCAAAAAATCCAAATAAATGTCCAATTTCAAATATATTTTTGTTTGTTCTCACGATTCGTCTTAATTCGTTGTGTTTTCAAGTTTAAAAAAATAAAAACAGGTTCAATTTTTACTTCAATTGTGTTGGTTCATGTTGGTTAGTTAACAGCTGATCTGGAATTCCAGTATATATTTTTTCATATTTGTTCAGAATATACATCACATTTACTGTGTCAGTTTGATAGCAGAAGCAGGCGACAATGCTTGTCGTAAGAGTCGACTGGCGGGATCGGGTGGTCAGGCTCGCTGACTTGGTTGAAGCATGTCATCGATCCCAATGGCGTGGATCGATGCTCATGATATTAGTCACTGGATTGTCTGATCCAGACTCGATTTATTACAGACCGCCGTCCTATAGCTGGAATATTGCCGATTACGGCGTTAAACAACAAACCAACCAACAACCAACCAACCAACCGTGATATGGCTGCAATATTGCTCAAAGCGGCGTATTCACTCACTCACTCACACACTCAAAATGGTTTTCAGGAATGGATCGCATTGGGATGCGTGGAACAGAGGAGAAAGGCGCCGCCATTTTGTACCTTGAACGCTACAATAAATGAGATGATGTCCGAGTGCGCCTGCACCAAAAATGAAACCATTGACAGCTTGCTGACTGTCAACTGTACGAACCTCACGTACACAGGCTTGCCAAAGTCGTCAGCTGAGTTTTTCTTCAAGTAAGTAATGTCAAATGATTGCAAATATTAAGTTGTAGGCTTTGACGAACCCTCTGTGTTACCGCCATGTTTATCATTGACCACAACTTGACAAGAAACGGAGATTGAAATGCGAAGCGTTTGAATGTCGCCCTATTGCCAGACAGCAGTTGTGCATCAATGTTTAGGCGCTGTGCATCACGTACATCGACTACAAGCAATGTTATTATACTTTACACGATGCCGTTTCGCTGAGGAGCTTAAATTGCAGAGATAACAGCCATCGGTAAAAAATGTCTGTCACCATGACTACGAGGTCTATATTATGTTCCAGTTGTCCCCCGCTGTAGCAGGTACATGGACATTTATCAACCCGTCACTGACCAATAGAATGTATGACAAGATAAAGACACTTTGGGTCCACTGTAAATGTCAAATTCTGTGGTTACCTTAACTATTGTTAATAATGATGAATACTTGAAATGTGCAAATGACATACCGCAAGCCTTTTTTTCTTTCTAACGCTTGCAGGTTTAGATATATTAGCGAGTACTTAAGTATGGCTAGAAAATGAGTGAAAAGGGCAAAGATTTCGAATTTCAAGAGAAACCTAAGCTTAAAAACTGTCTTTGTCTGTTTCTCCTCAGACACATTTTTACCTTGCCTGTATATTTAATGTTGATAGGGTCAGACAAAGTCCCCATCATCACATACTAGTTAGTCGAAAATGGCCATGTTATGTTTCGGATGGTCAAGCTTGGTGACTTGGTCATCATAGACCGAGGGTGCGAAGCGTTGCTCGTGATATGAATCACCAGTTTGTCCGGTCCAGACTCGATTATTTACAGACCGCCGTCATACAGCTCGAATATTTCTGAGTGCGGCATTAAACCACATTCAAACCAAAACAGCCGTTGTCACTTGTCCACAAAATGCAAAGGCTAGTTCTCGTTAAATGACTTCAAATGCACATTTGATAACAATTTCAAGTGTTTTGCCCATGTCTTGAAGAATCACAGGAACAACTGGGTAACAAAGGGTAACACTTATGAATTGGAGAAAAGGTCAATACAACAGGGAACAGTCCATTTGGGTTCACTCGTATGTAGTCGGCCTTTTCCGCCACCTTCATGTTCGTAATAGCTTGGGCAACGCCTGTGGTAACAGTACTTCATAGTTTCATTGTTTTCAACCGAGGTGACCAACTCTGTGGTCTAGTGGTAGAGCGTCCGCCCGGAGGACGGAAGGTCCGGGGTTCGATCCCCGGCCGCGTCATACCAAAAGACGTTAAAAGATGGTACTTGTTGTTACCCTGTCTGGCGCTTGGCATTAAGGGGTTAAAACAAGGACTGGTCGGCTCGGAGACAGTTTACTGTGTTTGAGTAGGGTATTCATGTTAAATTGTGGCATGGTATCTCAGTGAGCTAGCACTATAAAACCGCATCAACCAGTACAAGCAGTCACACAAACACACACACACACAAACACACACACACGTCGCTATATAAGTGCAATAACCCCCATTTCACCTCACATATAACCGAGGTATCGCCAGATCCTGCTGCATAAAGGTCGTTCAGTGTGACAGCCCCATCATGAAAACAGCCTATTGTATGTATTAGAAATTAGGCATACAATTTTGAGTACAAACCATGGAGTAATTACATAATAATACAGCCTATTGTCAAGTTTTGTTTGTGAGCGAAAGTGGTTCCAACCTGATTTGTTTCAAATGCTTGCCTTGGTGATATATGGGATTGAGAAGAACCGAGAACAGGCTTCACAGAGTTGTGTCCCTTACTCAAGACCCCGGTCTCTTCATAAGCTTCTGGGGCCATTGGTGGCCCAGTCGTCTAAGGCGCCGCGATTCACTGTGCAGAGTTGCGTCCCTTGGGGAGGCTAGGAACCTATGATTGTGGGTTCGAATCACGGTTCGCCCCGATTATATTTCTAGGTTTGTCAGCACCATACCCATGCTCGTTGGTTTCACCGAAATGGTAAACGTCTGAGACCTGCATCACTTCGGGCTTTCCCCCAATATTAAGCATCACGCTGTGTTGTAACTGGAATACTGTTAAAAGCGGCTTTAAAAACAACTCACTCACTCAGTCATTCACAAGCGTGTTATACCCCCGACAAAATGTTTTTATTAATTTTCCATTTTTTATCAATTTTTCAAACCCTAAGGCTAACCCTATCCTAGCTATTTAATTTGCAACTACTGACACACGAGGCGGGTCGGGGATATTAGTGAACCACGCTCACTTTTGCACTTGTTGTTTCTTGCCATCAGATGTACTTGTTTCTTGCCATCAGATGTACTTGTTTCTTGCCATCAGATGTACTTGTTTCTTGCCATCAGATGTACTTGTTTCTGGCCATCAGATGTACTTGTTTCTGGCCATCAGATGTACTTGTTTCTTGCCATCAGATGTACTTGTTTCTTGCCATCAGATATAAATGTTTCTCTCTACAGCGAGGAGGTGATTCAACGGTCCGCCGGGCTCGAACCTGAGAACATGGGAGCGCCGTTATGGAAGCTGTCACTCTGTCTACTGCTGTCATGGATAGTAGTCGTACTCTGCCTTATAAAAGGTGTTAAGTCCTCAGGCAAGGTGAGCTCCAATCTGCAAAAGTTAATATAGCCAGTTGGGGACAGAACTATTTAAGTGATCTCGCTCGGGCTTCCAAGCACTTGATGTGGGATGGGATCAGGCGGATAATGGCGGCTGGTTATGGCCAATGATCCGGGTGACCATTCGTAACCAGGATCCGTGTGTACACCGGAAAATGGTCCCCAGAGTATTATTTGTTTGTTTGTTTGTTTGCTGTTTAACGCCGCACTCAGCAATATTCCAGCTATATGACGGCTGTCTGGAATCGAGTCTGGACCTGAACCACTGATTGACACCATGAGCAGTATGGAGCTACGCAGTTGGGATAGGATGACATGCATCAACCAAGTCAGGAGTCTGGCCATCCGACCTCTTGTGGCCTCTTACGACAAGCATGGGTTACAGAAGCCCAATTCTATCCGGTTCTTCAAGGAAGGGAGGAGGTCCTACGTAACTTCATTCTTGTCGTTAGAGCTGACTAAAGTGAATCGCGTTGTCAGCTTGGTGACTGATGGTTGCTGCTTTGATATGGTTGCAATGTTGTTGACTGCAGCATTATCCAATTTATTGTTCACTATCTGATAATCGTATCTCAATTGCATGAATCGATGCTCATGATATCAATCACTGGATTGTCTGGTCCATACTCTTTGATTTTCAGACCGTCGTCATACAGCTTGAATATTGCTAAACAACATTCAAACAATCAAACAAACAAACAAACAAACAAACACTATCTGATATGCTATTATTACGAATGTTGGATGTCACTTACCTGCATATTTTCATTCATCATAATACGTATTTCCCCAATTAAATATATATCTCATATATCACTCATATTACCATGCCATTCTCTATCTGATAACAGTATGTGTCACATGTTGTGTATTTCAGGTTGTATATTTCACAGCTACCTTTTCTTATACCATTCATATTACCATGCCATTCTCCCCCTGATAACAATATGAGTCCCATGTTGTATATTTCAGGTTGTATATTTTACAGCTACCTTTTCTTATACCATTCATATCACCATGCCATTCTCTTTCTGATAACAATATGAGTCCCATGTTGTATATTTCAGGTTGTATATTTCACAGCTACTTTCCCCTATATAGTTTTACTCATCCTGTTGGTGCGAGGGGCGTTACTCGATGGTGCCATTGACGGGGTCAAGTTTTTCATTATACCAGAGTGGTCAAAGCTGCTTGATATAGAGGTGAGTTCTGCAACCCGTAACAAAAATTGCTGCTTTGAAACATCGTAAGGTATTGAGTTTGTGGCTAAAATGCTTTTCAAACCCCCACTCGCGCTCATGGGTATCACCAAAGTGGTAAACAACGAACACCCACTTTTCTCACACATCAAGTGAGTGAGTGAGTGAGTTGGGTTTAACGCCGCTTTTAACAGTATTCCAGTTATAACGCGGCGTGTCAGCTTAATGTGGGAGGAAAGTGAGTGATTGAGTGATGCAAGTCTCAGACGTTTACCACTTCGGTGAAACCAACAAGCACGGGTACAGTGCTGACATACAATAACATAACAGTAATACTCCTTATAGCAGTATAGAGCGTCCGCCCAGAAGGGAAGGTCCGGGGTTCGATCCTCGGCCGCGTCATAACAAAAGACGTTAAAAGATGGTACTTGTTGTTACCCTGTCTGGCGCTCGGCAATAAGGGGTTTAAACAAGGACTGGTCGGCTCGGAGTCAGTATACTAGGCCTGAGTGGGTTATTCATGTTAAACTGCGGCATGGTATCTCAGTGAGCTAGCACTATAAATCGGCATCAGTCCGGACTAGTACAAGCAGCCACACAAACACACACACGTGCATGCACGTCGCTATATAAGTGCAATAATCTTGGACGCGACGTTAAACCCAATTTCACCTCACCTCACCTCACCTCACCTCGCCTTATAGCAGTATTTTACCCCCCTCCCTCACACTGTGTATCTCCAGGTGTGGGTTGCCGCTGCAGGACAGATGTTCTTCTCGCTGTCGGTGTCCTTTGGTGGGATCCTCATGTTTGGCAGTTACAACAAGTTCAATAACAACGTGTATGGGTGGGTGAAATTTCAATAATTCATACCCTGATACCTGTCCGCTTCAAAAAGTTGGCGTATTTATGATAAACGAAAATTTCTCCTATGAAGATCCCGGTTAGAATTGTTTTTTCAGCAACCCATGCTTGTCGTAAAGGGCAACTAACAAGTTGAGCAGAGTGACGTGTGAATTTTCAAGTACAGTAAACTACGTTTATAACGAACACACTTATAACGAACTGACGGATATAACGAACTTACATTTTTGTCCCTACTATTTGCTGTAGTTATGCTGTAATATGCTTATACCGAACTACGGTTATAACGAACTAAAATTAGTGGTCCCGTTGAGTTCGTTATAACCGTAGTTTACTGTATATAGTTTCTTTTATACAGTTATATGTCTTTTCGTTAAATAATTGCTGTAGATGTATATTTCACATTATTTTCCTCGTTGTTGTCAATATTATTGCGCATTCTGTGATTGATTTTCTTTCTTCCCAGCGACGCGTTACTTATAAGTGTCATGGACCTAGTGACAAGCATTATAGCAGGTTTTGTCATATTCACTACTTTTGGTGGAATGGCAAAAACCATCGGGGCCAACGTCACCGACGTTGCTGAAGCAGGTACGTCAACGTCGTTATTGTGATTCTTATTGCAACGAGCACCCTACGCTGGTTTCGAATTCAGATTAGCTGCCCGCCGGGATTTCGGGACATATTTTGTCCCAAGTGTTTTTGTTTGTTGAAAATGCCTTATAAAATGGACACAATGTGCGGCGTGGTTTTGGATAACGTACCACAACTGCGTGGCTTGTTGCTTGTGTTATTAACCACTCGTTTGCCTTGACGACCGCCTCCGTGGTCTAAAGGATAGAGCGTCCGCCCGGAGAGCGGAAGGTCCGGGGTTCGATCCCCGGCCACGTCATACCAAAAGACGTAAAAGATGGTACTTGTTGTTACCCTGCCTGGCGCTCGGCATTAAGGGGATACAATAAGAACGAGTCGGTACACTTGTGTCTGAGTGGGGTATCCATGTTAAACTGCGGCACAGTATCTCACTGGGCTAGCACAATAAAAACACTAAATCCACTCATGCAGTCACCTCTTGGTATTCAAAAGCAAATATTTTTGAATTATATAAACATAATGTAATACATGCTGAATATGACGTAATATTGTTGTCTGTCAGGGTATGGACTTGCGTTCGTGGCCTACCCGGAAGCGTTGTCCAATTTCCCCCTTCCTCAGCTGTGGTCAGTCATCTTCTTCTTCATGCTGTTCACACTGGGACTGGACAGCGAGGTGAGTGCTCAGACCCCCCTTGTTCGCATCTCATACGCATTCCTGTGGGTAACCAGAGGGAGAAAGTACATGCCGTAAGAAGGCGCTTACAATTAGGATCGGATGGACAAGACCGCCTCCGTGGTCTAATGGTAGAGCGTCCCCCCAGAGAGCGGAAGGTCCGGGGTTCGATCCCCGGCCGCGTCATACCAAAAGACGTTAAAAGATGGTACTTGTTGTTACCCTGTCTGGCGCTCGGCATTAAGGGGCTAAAACAAGGACTGGTCGGCTCGGAGTCAGTATACTGTGTCTGAGTGGGGTATTCATGTTCAACTGCGGCATGGTATCTCAGTGAGCTAGCACTATAAATCGGCATCAGTCCGGACTAGTACAAGCAGCCACACAAACACACACACGTACATGCACGCCGCTATATAAGTGCAATAATCTTGGACGCGACGTTAAACCCAATTTCACCTCACCTCGGATGGACAAAATAGTTTCTCAGTATAAATTTTAGTGACACAACTAATGACGAAACGCGATGTCATTGATGTGAGAATAATAACTGGATGCACAGCCATACCTCAGGTGTGAACTGAGAAACGAGGGGCATAAAATCATCAGCCAATTGAATAGCAGCTCTGGCAACAAGGATCTTCCTGGTCATAGTCTATAATTTAGTACGTTGAAGGCGGCTTCTTTGAAGCTTAAAATTCCGCGCATTCTCGAAATTAAAGGTAAAAATGAAAACCTCATCCATGATCCGTTATTCATTGTCACATTCCGTCCTCCTGTTCGAACATTAGTAGCCAGGTGAGTGACTATTGTTTTGCGCCACTTCTATGCATATTTCAGCAATAATATCATCAGAAATGGGCTTCACACAATTTGCCCACCCAGGCCTTCGTGGCGAGCGAACGCTTTACCCACTAAGCTACCCCACCGCCCCATATTCCAGTAGTGGAAGGAACGTAAACTATGGTGATGCATCTGTGCAACGCTAAGATCCGCTGATTGCAGGTTCGAATCTTGGATTCCACTCGCCTGTGATCCTTGGTTTGTCAGCTCCAGACATGTGCTCACTAGTGTCACCAAAGTGAACACTTTGTGATTTCCTCCCACATTAAGCTGAACTAATGTTTGAGTGAGTGAGTTGGGTTTAACGCAGCTTTTAACAGTATTCCAGTTATACCGCGGCGTGTCAGCTTAATGTGGGAGGAAAGCCCCAAGTGATGCAGGTCTCAGACGTTTACCACTTCGGTGAAACCCACGAGCACGAGTATGGTGCTGACAAACCTTGAAACAAAATCGGGGCGAACCGGGATTCGAACCAACAATGGCCCAAGGGACGCAACCCTGCACAGCGAATCGCGGCGCCTTAGACGACTAGACCACCCGTGCCCCCAACTAATGTATGAACTAACGCAATGTTTCTGCTGCAGTTTGGTCTGATGGAGACAGTGTTGACCTGCATCCAGGATGAGTTCCCTCATCTCCGGAAGTACAAGAGCTGGCTGTGCGTCGGTCTCGGAGCCGGCTGCTACTTCCTAGCTCTTCCCTGCGTCTGTCCGGTAGGTGGCGCCCAAGTCCATTCCTTGAGAAATTGTGAAAGAAAGGGCATTTAGGTCGCGACAAATACATATTTATGATTTTATGATCGTTTACACTCCTCGACAATGGCAGCGGATTGGTCCATAGTGTTTACACCACACAAAAGAACTTACAGACAACCCGATTCTTTCACATACTGTCATGACCGATTAACTATACAGTAAACTACGGTTATAACGAACACGCTTATAACGAACTGACGGATATAACGAACTTACTTTTTGGTCCCGACTACTTGCTGTAGTCATGCTGTATATGTACTTATAACGAACTACGGTTATAACGAACTAAAATTAGTAGTCCCTTTGAGTTCGTTATAACCGTAGTTTACTGTATAGTAATATGAAAGCATCGGGTTGTCCTTTTTATTAGTGTATAATACAATAATGGAAAGAAAATGTAGATCAAAATGTATGATTATTATTATTTGTCGTATCTTTAACATGACCTTGTCGTGACCTCAATCTTTCCAGATAAAATACACTGAATAATTAATAAAGAATAAAGCGCTCGGTTCAAAATTAAAATAAAGAGGTATCTACTCTACAGTGGAACTACATCAAATTTCAAAACACAGCAGGTTTATCTCCTAATTTGAATTTAATAAGACACCCCAAGCATAGTCCCCTTTATGTAACATCCAACCCCTCCCCATTTCCAGTTGGGTGTAATATTATGACTTCTTTAGGGGGGCGACTACGTTGTGACGTTGATGAACGACTTCGGCGCCGACTTCTCTGTCTTGGTGGTGGCGTGCTTCGAGTGTATCGCCGTCATGTGGGTGTATGGTAGGTGGCAATACTTTATTTCTTCAAAATCTGGTTAAGAATACCGCTCCAAATCAACCCATGCTTGTCGTAGGAGGCGACAAAATGGGTCGGGTGGTCAGGCTCGGTGCGAGGATCGATGTTCATGATGTCAATCACTGGAATGTCTGTCCCAGAGTTGATTAATTACAGACCGCCGTGATAAAGCTGGAATATTGCAAACATCAAACAAACTGTAGTCTATCAAATAAATATATTTGTTATCATCTCGCTATAGCATGGTCGAGAAAATTGAATTTTGCTGAAGGTGATTGAGTCGTACATACAATCTTTGTACATTGTCGGTCTGTAGGGTACAAAAGTTACTTACACCACTCTTCAAAATGAAATCCCTGAAATCTCATCGGCACGCGATAAAACGTTTGTTTGCCCACATCTGATTAAAACAAATGATCCCACTATCGCGACTGTGGCGCGGCGTTGTCGACTTCCCGGTCGCGATAGACGCTTGTTTTGAGTGAGTGAGTTGGGTTTAACGCCGCTTTTAACAGTATTCCAGTTATATCGCGGCGTGTCAGCTTAATGTGGGAGGAAATCCCGAAGTGATGCAGGTCTCAGACGTTAACCACTTCGGTGAAACCCACGAGCACGCATATGGTGCTGACAAACCTAGAAACATAATTGGGGCGAACCGGGATTCGAACCCACAATCATAGGTTTCTGGCGTGTCCAAGGGACTCAACTCTGCACAGCGAATCGCGGCGCCTTAGACGACTGGGCCACCCGTGCCCCCCGCTTGTTTTGAACAGAAATGTACATGTATAGTATAGTATACGACCCTGAATGATTCCAAGCCATAATGGTCCCACAGCACCTATTGCTTGCCATACAAGCCCTCTGAAATTAGATCAAGGTGTTCAGTCTCAGTCTCCAGGAGTGAGTGATATGGGTTTAACACTGCTTTGAATAGTATTCCAGTTACATCCAGCGTGTCAGTTTGATGTGGGAGCAAATCCCGAAGTGATGCGTTTACCACTTTGATGAAACCCACGAGCATGGTGCTGACAAACCTGGAAACATAATCGGGGCGAACCGGAATTCGAAACCACGATCATAGGTTTCTGGCGTGCCCAAGGGACGCAACTCTGAACAGCTAATTGCGGCGCCTTAGACAAGTGGGCCACCCCTACCCCCTCAGACCATGTTACATGGCTGTGTGTCATCGTACAACCACAGATTTATCCCAAGCTCGATTATTTACAGGTCGACGTGACATAGCTGGAATAGGACGTAAAATTACAAACGACAAACAAATCGCTCGATATGGGTCATCCAACCTAAAATGCGAGTCGTTTAAATCAGGATATTTCATTAAATCGTTGTGTAAAGCAAATGAGTATGCGACAGCAACAAATTGCAAAACAGCAATTGTCCGTGTTTCAAATAAACTGTTACGGCAAATTCGTGTGTATTTTTTCCAGGCGTGATGCGCTTTATGAAGGATATCGAATTCATGCTGGGGAGCAAGCCCCACGTCTGGCCTTACTGGGTGTTCTGTTGGGCCGTGGCTTCTCCGTTCCTTATCGGGGTAAGTACGGCTTATCTGTTACTGCTGTGTGGGTAATCTGTTAATTCTGTGTACGGTAATCCTCTGTCTCAGACGCCGGTGGCATCACGAGAAAGGTCAAGAGTAAGTAATATTTGTCGGAGGGAATCCGGGTTAGAAAAGGTCTCAAGGAAACTCATTCTTGTTATAAATGAGGATCGGATGGCACAATGTGTGACCTTTTGCTCAATTACGTGTCATGATATCCTGCCGGGATGGATCGTTGCTCATGCTGTCAACCACTGGATTTTCTGGTTCAGATCAGATTCACTCACTCGTTGATAACAGGACGCCATCATCCAGCTGGAGTGAGTGAGTGGCGCCTCAGACGGCTGGGCCACCCGTGCCCTCTCATCCAGCTGGAAAAGTGTTCTGTGTCATAAAACATCATTCACCTTCACTCAGTCATTTAAATCCTACATGTTTGATCCTTTATTGGTTTTGTTTATTGGAACATAATAATATTGCAATATTTAAAAAACTATATTTATTTTTTTGTCTCAACAGGCCATGTTCATATACAGGATGGTGAAGTTCACACCACCTACCTACCCGAATAAGATGGCCTACCCGGTGTTTGCCCAGATATTAGGATGGGTACTGGCTGCCGTTGTCATCATTCCCATCCCTGCCTGGTTCTTCTACATCTTGTTGAAAACACCAGGCTCACTGACAGAGGTAAGACAACATAACGATTACAACTCATCACGAAATCGGCCATTATATCCTATGTCGTTTCACATTTAGCAACGTTCTTGGCACAACATCGCCGCGAATAGCTGCAAAATTGCTGATGCGGCGTTAAGCAATATTCACTCACTCACTTGGCACAACACGTCACCGTGACCCGAACGTGTCGTACAAGCTTAGAATGAGAATCGGGTGGACAGAATGTCTGACCTGGTTGCAAGTTTGCCACCATTCCCCGACGGCAGGAATCATACCATCAAATACTGCTCCAGTGAGTGAGTGAGTGAGTATGGTTTTACACCGCTTTCAGCAATATTCCAGCAATATCACGGCGGGGGACACCAGAAATGGGCTTCACACATTGTACCCATGTCGGGAATCGAACCCGGGTCTTCGGCGTGACGAGCGAACGCTTTAACCACTAGGCTACCCGACCGCCCCTAAACACTGCTCCACCTGGCTCAGACGCAAATATATACAGGACGTGGACATACGTGGAATATTGGCGGTTTAAAACAACATTCACTTGGCGTCAAACTTAGCATTCATTAAACTTGTTATCTCTTTCGCCTATTTAGCTGTAAGCTGACAAACTATTTTTGAAAAAAACATTGTGAAAAATATGTGGTCGCCGCCTGAAAACTCAAAACGATAAAATGTCAAAACACCACGTGGTAGTTTCGCGGATTGTATGAAAACTTTACCTTGTACTTATCGCAAGAGGGGGCGGTCGGGTAGCCTAGTGGTTAAAGCGTTCGCTCGTCACGCCGAAGACCCGGGTTCGATTCCCGACATGGGTACAATGTGTGAAGCCCATTTTCTGGTGTCCCCCGCCGTGATATTGCTGGAATATCGCCAAAAGCGGCGTAAAACCATACTCACTCACTCACTCACTTATCGCAAGAACCGACTAAGACAGGGATCATGGGTGTGACCGTGGCCCACATGCACAAAGCGATTTTAGCAGTAGTCTTATCGCTAAATTCTCTTCATGCACATGAGCCCTGACTGGTTGCGTGCCCAAATACCTTAGGCTTGCGAGTGGTTGTTAATTCTGTCAATATTGGTTTGTCTCATACAGACTATATAACTGGATTATTATGGCGTATAACAACATTCATTTACCTATGATCTATTTTCCAGCGATTCAGAAAAATATTCAACCCAACACCTAAATGGGGTCCTGCTGACAGAGCCGAGAGCTACCGAGTCAGTCCAAAAGACTACCCCATGAAAGGAAACGTCAACCCAGGCTTCTCCCAGTAACATCAACCGTTGACTATTGATTTCTTAAGTTGGGCATGTTGTTTTGGTAGTGTAGGTTAGAACTGACTTGCCTCTACTGCTAGAAAACAACACGCTTGCGGTCACTCAGGTACAGGAAACGTCAAAGAAGCTCTTGCACCAATTGACTCCATGGTAAAGCGGTTTACGCGAGACGCTTCGGATACGATATGTGCATTCTATACCGATGAACATCATAATAGATATATCGATAATCTATGCATTGTACAATTAAATCGAAAAAAGATTAATTAGTTTGCAAAGCGGTTATCCGTGCCTCGCCCAAAGGATCTTTAGCTTAAATATATTTTTGGGGTTTAACTGTTACGAAAGTTTGATTTTTATGTTGTTAATAAAGTGTTAATCTTGTTGTTCCAACCTTCAAAAAACAATTTCACTGTAAGCTTTTGTTATTACATATGTAATTTCAAGCTGGTACCTGATGTAAGGTGTCAAGAATATCAAATAACATAATGACCATGTGGATATTGTTTATCATAACTTTTGCAGTTGTTCGCGGCGAACCAGTAACATTGTTCTTCGTTATAGCGTAAAGCATAATGGCTTGCAAGTTTTACTATGCTTCTTTTCATTTTGAAGTTTCACATGTAGATTCGAAACCTGTATATTTCATATGAAACTGTCTGAGTTTCAAATCGTTATTGGATGTTACATTGTCTCAAACTGGTGATGAATCCGGCGAGTATAACCATCTAATTCCCAGGACTTTTGCCCTCTATTCGGAGAAATATTACCTTCTAAGTGGTAGGAATATAAAATGAAAACATGGGGTTTAGCATCATAGTGTATTCTATGCAGTCTAGATGTACAGACTGAGATACCATGCCGCAGTTTAACATGAATACCCCAGTATACTGACTCCGAGCCGACCAGTCCTTGTTTTAGCCCCTTAATGCCGAGCGCCAGACAGGGTAACAACAAGTACAATTTTTTAACGTCTTTTGGTATGACGCGGCCGGGGATCGAACCCCGGACCTTCCGCTCTCCGGGCGGACGCTCTACCACTGGACCACGGAGGCGGTCACCAATAATTACAAGGACTATGATATACTCACAGACTCTAAGCACACGGTATATTGTCATTGATCCGGATGTAATGTCAATAATATAGGACTTGGTGCTGAATTGCCTTTTTAGTTTAAAAAACCTATCCTCGTCAGTCAGGGAAGGTGTGTTTGAGTGAGTGAGTATGGTTTTACGCTGCTTTTAGCAATATTCCAGCAATATCACAGCGGGGGGTTACCCGAGATGGGCTTCACACATTGTACCCATGTGGGGAATCGAACCCGTGTCTTCGGCGTGACGAACGAACGCTTTAACCACTCGGCTACCCGAGAAGTGTTTTTTGAACGTCCCTCGGCCAATAGGGTAGCGCTTCTTTAGTCGTATGAGAAAACAATTAATATACTGTGTGTCTCGGGGCGCAGTTCGTTCCTAGGTGTGACGGGAAGAATAAATTGAGATGAAAACATGAAACATTATTTTCTTACAGTACATCCTAAACTGCTTCTTTATCCGTCACTTTAAAGGTGTCCATTTTCTGGTGAAGGAGAGACGAATATGAATAGCCCAAAGACATTGACGGTTTGGGGTCAGCTTTCTTATCAAATTGGACAATGTATTCTAGATATATTTTTTTCAAATGGCTCGTGTATCAAAATGTTTATATAATCTGCCGTCGTAGTGACTGAAAAATAACATGGCTGTTTTGGGAATATTTGTTGATATGATTAAAATAATCTGAACCTGAAAAAAGGCGTGAGTGAAAAAGTTTTCAATTAACTTTATTCAACGTTAAATTGATATCGAATTATTAGAAACGTGTTTATTTTTGTTTTGCAATGTTTAAACGCTATTCCAACGTGTCATCCATGCATGTCCTGTTTCATCCAACTTTCCGATTTATGCACATACAGATGACCCTCGTTAATCCGGACATTACAGACCCGGGTAAAATCGCTGAGAAGGCGGGTTTCCGGATTAACGGAGTTATTTCTGTATTCACATTATAGCAATATCATATCAACGCCATTTTACAAGATATCAAATAATGTATATGTGTCTGTGAATTTACCTTTGTCTTTTCAATGAAATGCTCAACATATAAATATATGTACATCCAGGAAATATCACCATACCATATCATGATTTAACGATTGTATGAATATTATAATAATTGTGTACTTTATTTTTATACTACAGTGTACAATAAATGTTTTCTGAAATGATCAATGCAGTTATTGTCATATATTGAACGATGTCATGGAGATATCTTTCCATTATATTCTTCAATTTCTGCTTCTGACAGGAATACAGGAATATATACCAGGGTATGAAACTCCCAAAAATTTCAGCCAGACCACAGGACTGGCTAGCTGAAATACTTGCCAGCCCTGACCAAAACCTGTCTGCCCACTATAATCATATGTTTCTCAGGATAAGCTAACGGGGTTTCTTTTTGGTTACATTTTATCATTCATCTTTACATGTGAATTAATGCTTATCATCGGGAAATATTTTGAATATTTTCACATGAAATATAACCCGACCGTCGGGCAGGGGGATTTGAAAATCTGGCAGCCCGAGTTGAAATCAACCCGTCTCGGACGGTCGGGCAGGCAGGTATTGATCAAAGCACCCATATCCTGACGCCCCTTCTCGTTGGTTTCGAGAAAGAGAGGGTGGGGTGGGGTGGGGGGGTGGGGGGGGGGGGGGGGGGGGGGGGGGAGGAGCCTTGATGTAGGTTACGGAAACCTGCAAAGAGTGACGAATGGGGTGGCCCAGTCGTGTTATCGCTGTGCAGAGTTGCGTCCCTTGGGGACGCCAGAAACCTATGGTTGTGGGTTCCAACCCCGGTTCGTCCCGATCATGTTTTTAGAATGTTCCGGACCATTCCCGTGCTCGTGGGTTTCACCAAAGTGGTATGTGTCTGAGACCTGCATCTTTGCGGGCTTTTCTCCTTCATCAAGCTGACACGCCGTGATGTAACTGAATATTTCTAAAAGAGTCGCCGAACAACCCACTCGCTCATATCGTGTTATTTTTGTGTGAAAAGTTGTATAACAAAAAGTAGCCAATACCACAAGGTGAAAGGTTTTCACTTATTCCTCTGTATTTGTTCTGTTAAACATTCAGGTCCAAGACGGAAAACCGTCTCTTTGTTTTAGACGGAAAAAACGTATATAACACTATTACAGTTTACCCTTTTGCGTGGTTCGATAACGTTTCTCTGTGACCAACAACAGTTTTTTTTAAGTTTCGAGGACCCCCACTACTATATTTAGTCATCGCGAAGTCTCCCGAGAAGATACGTCATCCGAGACTGAATCAAAATGGAGAACTTGAGGGAGCCACAAACATCGCTGGTAAGACAAAATCCAAGTTTAAAGATATTTGTGCTTTATATTAACCGCATGTGTATGTGTCCCATAAAATAGAGTCATCTGACATTGCAAACCAAAGGTTTAAACTGTAGAATAAAAAGGGAAAGGTCGCGAACGAAACAGCACGGGCGTGGATTTTTCTGTCAGAAAGTTTGCTTTGATAAATAAGATGTTTTTTCCGCGTTGTGGTGTATGTGTCTTTTCCGTCTAACCCGATAATTGTAATTGATAACAGAATTGATGACAGCTTAGCCGCCTTGATAAAATTTATTTGTAAATGCGGGTTTTCCATCCAATTTGTCAATGACATTGGCCTACCGAAGGCACGTGTCCGAGGACGCCACTTGTTGCTGAAATGAAAATAATGGAGTAACCTCCCTTTTAATAATTCGGAACAACACTTAGACCTATCATATCTTGGAAGTGTACTTTATATATATATTGCCTATTTTTTGTATGAATGAATTTGTTGTCAGAACCTCGTAGCTTTAGCATCAATTTTTGTCTCAAATGTGCGAAATGTAGTGATTGGTGCTTCCTCAGTCGTATCAATTTGGTTACACAGGATTGGCCATCCGAATCCGATGCTACTCGTATGTTTGATCGGGTGTGATCGAGGCACGTGATCAACTTACCCGCTAAATCTGACAGGTGTCAGGTGACAGATTGAGACTGGACAGCAAACGGAACGGACGATTACCACCGAAGTTAGCTCCACCTCGATCTCACCATCATCTCGCTCTCGCTGTAAGGTAAGCACGTTTCCTTATCACTAGGCTTTCACAACAATGGCACTGTGAACAGGATAAAGCCTATTTGTGATATTTGTGACAAAAGTAAATATGTCACACGACAATGGGGAAAGGACTGCTGAATGGGTCACGTGATGTCCTGAAGAAGAGCAAAACTCGCATTATGGAGCGTTTTAGCTATTTCATTTGCAATTAGAGTTATATCCCAATGCTCTTTAGTTTTAGATTTATCACTTTTCGGCCGTAAAACCATACTCGTAATGTAAAGTGCACAGTAATATCAAAGGGTGTTGATGTATCCACACTGTTCGTGTGTTTTGATCAACATCAATCGCTGGAAGCTGCTTCTCACCCGGCGTATTACATGCAAATGTCATGGTGTTGATTGCAGTGTTGGGATGTACCTAGCTGTCAATCTGTCACTGTGTCCACCTCCATTTGTCACAATAATGAATGGGAGACCCAGAATAGTCAAGTAGCCAAAAGATCCTATTCAAGCAAGTAGCCTACAGATCCTATCCAAACAAGTAGCCTACAGATCCTATCCAAACAAGTAGCCAAAAGATCCTATTCAAGCAAGTAGACTACAAATCCTATCCATAGTGAAACTAGTTCATTTCAGAGATTTTGGTCTAATATTGGGACAGCCTAATATTGGGCAAGAGCCTTTCCAAATGATGCATGCCATATTCAACCTCTTAATTTGAATGCCATTTAGCCCCCAATAATCCAATATTGGGTCAAATATACTTCCGTAACTATTTTCATCAACGTTCTCTTTCAGATTCCTCATGATGTTGCAGATAACGCCATCCCCATCAAGTCCTGGTTCAGCGATGCCACAGACACAGCACTTCTCTGCCTCATGCCTATGTTAGATGCTCTCAGGTTTTGCGGCGACATGCGCAGCGTCCTCAGTCGGAATTTACATCTACAGTGGTATACAAACTCACTATGAAAATCTTCCTCATTTAGTCATTGTAGAAATTCTTTGGATACTTCAGACATTGTGCAAGATTGGAAGAAAAATTATTGGCAAGTTTGAAAAAAGAAATTATATATATTATGATTAAACTTAGTGGGTTAAGTTCCAAACACTATCAAGAAGTTTGTTGATTTAATTCAAAATTATTTGCATAATAGTATTTTTCAAAACAAATAATCCATTGTCTGGAGCCAGTCTTCAGTTTGTGTCTAGACTATGTTATTAGTTATATGTGTAACATTTAGCATTGTCTCGGAGTTAATAGGTATTCCTTAACTGGTAGTCTGGAGTTGAGTTCGAATCCCGGATGGGACTCAACCCAAAAAAGTACAAGAATCTGTACTTTACTAAGAAAGTGTTATCCCAAATATAACATTTGTTACATTTGACCACTTTCTAAAATGGCATTGTGTATTCCAGAGATGATTGTGTGATTATTTCTCAAACTGTTGTATTCTCCTCCTTCCTTGTGGATGTTCAGTAGTTGATAGATGACAATCAGGTGCGGAGACAATCCCATGCATCATGATGTGTAATCAAACAAAACTCACCTTGTTGAGGATTGATGAGCAAAACTCATTGTTTTATATTTAAATGAAGTAATGTGCAGTGTTTCTTCTGAATAGATTTTCCCTAAGATTGCTGGATGCATCGGAGGCAAGAATCCTGATTTCCTGGCTTCATGTCAGGATTTCTGACATGCAGTGTAATGTATATGAACAGAGCATAAGTTATTACTTGGAAAAGTGTTTCAAATGATTCAAAGCTCAAATGTTTTTCAAATAGTATTTTTTTTCATGCCAAGGTCAGTCATTAGTATACAAAATTGTATTTTTCAAGTTATTACTCAACTCCAACATGATTTGTCACTCAGTTATCCAGGGTATTATATGTCCATTCTATTAAAATAAATACCTTGGATCCATCCACCGCCCTCTTCATTTGGATTCCAGTTTGAATGACACAACGAGTGAAGTAGCTCCCTCCTAAATTACTCTACACTGTAATATTTGACAGAACCAGTGCCATGGACAAAGTTCCATTGTTGCAAACAGTCTAAAAAAATACAATGTTGGACGTCTGATAGAATGGCTGTATAATACAGTGGATACAGGAGGGTGACTAGACACTGGAGGAACTGATACACATCCTTTGTGTGCACCATGTTACCTCACAGCACCAGGATGTTTCTCTGTGGTGTTGTTGCCATTGGACTTAGTCACAATATTCGAGACTTTGTACTTGGATTCTTTGAGAAGGCTTGAGATGCTTACAGGCTGTTGGTACAAAGAAGGTGAATGCAGCCGTCTTTGAGATTACAAATCAATGTAACCTCTTGAGTGTGTAAGGGGAGGCAAAGATTCATATGTAAATATTGCTGTAATTTATGAGTATTGAACCAAATTGTTTCAGAATTAAAGATCAAAATTTGGAAACTCAGGGTTTAACATTTTGGTTGTTGGAACTATTAACTATTTATTATTATTAGATTATTGGATGTCAAGTTCTTTATTATGAGGAGAACAACGTTTCAGGGCATTAGCCATAAGGCAGAGAGCACACATGGGTGCATGTAAGGACACCCTATTTATAAGATAACAAAAGGTGGGAAAATAACAAAGGGAAGCCAACAGATTACAGGTGATTAGCAATAGACAATGGAAGCGACATTAGAAATCATCCAGTCACGGCTATGATCTTGTGAGAAGATCCTGGAGAGATGGTGTAGGTGACTTTTGAAACTATAATGGCAAATGAGTGCTTTCTCATGTTCGCTACGAACTTGTACACTGTTTTTGTGCAACTGGACACAACTGTTCATTGCGCTATTGTAGCTCATGTGAATTTAAAGCATATTCTATTGTATCTGTTCTTTCGCATGATGTCATAAATATACGTTTAGATCAGGAAATCATATGAGGGGGTATGTGTTGGCTCTTTCAGTTGGAAGCAATACATGAGTGCTTCGCACTGAGCAATGTTCCAAATACACGGCTCTGGACCGCCCATTTAACCCGACATTTATGGGTACATGTCAAAGGCACCGGGTGTTCATGCTCCGGTTTCTGATGCAGACCGCCGTCAAAGCAGGAATATTGCCGAGTTTGGCATTCGAGATGTTTTGTGATGAAAGCCCGCAAAAGCAATTTCAAGCTAGCAATCAGTGTCAACCTGTTCACCTGAACTCTACTGTTGTGATTCTCAATCGTGTAATATTTTCCTTCGCAGTAATGTGCGGGCGAACCTCGACCATCTGTAATATTGTGTGAAAATAAAAAACGGAAATTTTGAATGTTGTTATTGTCCTATGCTTGTATTGCCGAGTGGCGTTAAACATGCACATAAATCTGATCGAATGCTTCAGAAACTGCGATGAGCAGGCATATTCCTGAAGTTGACCACACAAATATTCTGCTGGTCATATCTGATTGCTAGCTTGAAATTGCTTTTGCAGTCAAACAGAAATATTTCAGCTGCAAGTTTAAGTTTAAGACCCGCCTCCAGATGAAATTCCATGACATCACTTCCTGAGTACCCGAAATTTGCTTACCGTAAAAGGCGACTAACGGGATCGGGTGGTCAGGCTCCAATCTGGAGTGGCATACTGCTGAGTGCAGCGTTAAACTGTAGTGTGACTGCTGCTGTCTGGGCTGAGTGAGAAGTGTTATAAATATTGGCTAAAAAAATAATATCGAAGCCTCTCCATATTACCCAGATCCACAGTGAAGCCTCCCCATATTACCCCCATCCACAGTGAAGCCTCCCCATATTACCCCCATCCACAGTGAAGCCTCCCCATATTACCCCCATCCACAGTGAAGCCTCCCCATATTACCCCCATCCACAGTGAAGCCTCTCAATATTACCCCCATCCACAGTGAAGCCACTCCATATTACCCGGATCCACAGTGAAGCCTCCTCATCTCATTCCCCAGTGAATCATTCAGTAAAGCATGTAGTGAAAGGCTGCAACAAACAATGGCTGGACCCGCTTGTCTGTAGAGAATTACTTACTCAATACTGACTGGGTGGGTGAAGGTCACCAGGATGTCAGTGGTGTGCTGGGGCAGGTGGATGAGGCCCATGTGCACATTGTTGAGGTTCTGAGAAGAGTGAGTGAGTGAGTGAGTTGGGTTTAATGCCGCTTTTAACAGTATTCCAGTTATATCATGGGGTGTCAGCTTAATGTGGGAGGAAAGCCCGAAGTGATGCAGGTCTCAGACGTTTACCACTTCGGTGAAACCCACGAGCACGGCTATGGTGCTGACAAACCTAGAAACATAATCGGGGCGAACCGGGATTCGAACCCACAATCACAAGTTTCTGGCGTGCCCAAGGGACGCAACTCTCCACAGCGAATCGCGGCGCCTTAGACGACTGGGCCACCCGTCCCCCCTCTGAGAAGGATGAAGTAAATATTGTCACAGTGATGGCGTCCTGCTAGCCCCTTTCTATCCAAACATGCTTAAGGAGTGAAAGAGTGAGTATGGTTTTATGATATACATGTACCAGCAATGTGACGGCGGGGCAGGGGTGCGGCCCAGTAATGAGCATCACAAACTGTACACATTTAGGGAATCGAACCCAGTCTCTGCTGTGACGTGTGATTGTTGTAACCGCTTGGCTACCCAACTGAAAAAAGAAGCAGGTTGGTGTGCATTCTATTGAGCTTGGTTCATCCATCATTGGGGGCGGTCGGGTAGCCTAGTGATTAAAGCGTTCGCTCGTCACGCCGAAGGCCCTGTTCGATTCCCGACATGGGTACAATGTGTGAAGCCCATGTCTGGTGTCCCCTACAGTGATATTGCTGGAATATTGCTAAAAGCGGCGTAAAACCATACTCACTCACTCATCCATCAGGGACAAATTCCCATTTTACTACTGAGGGAACTAGGGTAATGCTTTAACTTGGTGACATGAAAACATGATGGCTTTACGGTTGAATTTTTAAAACTCTACTGGAAAGAACAAATTCTGGATTTGTAAAAAGTACTTCTGGTTATAACAAAACAAGTATGACAATGAAAAGAGAAATTATAACTTGTATGCCAAAATCAAATAAAGATAAACATACACAAACAACTGGAGACCATTAACATTATCAAATGTACTCTAAATAAATAGTACTTGTATTGCAAACAGTACAAAATCAACATTCATAACAAGCAAACAGGATTATTCCAGGAAGATCTACTTCAGAAAACACAAGGTTATACGATATTATCTTTGAATCCAAAAGACAAAATAAACCAGGATTACTGATTGATTTTGAAAATGCATTTGATACAAAATGAACATCAATGTAAAAAATTATAAATGAAAGAGGCTGTTGGCCCACTGTACCCATATCTCTGATAAAAAATCATTACGAAAAGAATACATATATGTAGGGTGTTTTTTTTCAGGTAGATTGCACACAACTGTTAATTTGGTTACACACTAGTTTGAACAACCCACTCGCACTATATTTTCAAAAGCCATTCCCTGAGAACCAATTCTTTTATTTTTGTAAGATGTCCAAATATCACGACAGCACACTTACAGATAACAAGCGATGTATCAGCTGTGAATCTTACACACTCCAGTTAGCAGCCCATTAACATAGAGTTTAATGTTTAAACAATCAAACAGACTCACTAACATATTTACTTAATCCTATTCTATATTGAATAAAAAAAATACAGCGGATGTTCAGGAAGAAACATTCTTGCAAAGTCCCCTCATGACCAATTCTACCTGACCTCTTTGGCACCAGCCGGCAAAACAGCAGACAGACATCCTCCGAAGAGCTCTCGAAGATTTGGCGCGGTGTCCAGAGCGACTGCATCCTTGGTTGTCCATTGACTTTGTAGTGGATCAATTATTCAATTGTGAAACAACAATCTCTCTTGGAATCACGGTCAATGGACGTTTTTCGTAGGGATGGGATGCGTCACTCGGGTACTCGTGTCTGGTGGGAACTGAGTAGGATCCGGATACCCACAGAACTACCCGGACTCGTGCTTAGTCACGTGATATATTGTTCACTGATAAAAATGATCTAGAACTCTATGGTTACACTAATAGTCACTAATGTTCCCATTTCTTTCTGACAACGCACGTATTCCTTCTGACTGTTATATGTTTGAATAAAGATAAAAATTCAGTCAACTTCGGCCTATGCATGACCAGATCGTTGTATACGTTTTTCTAAATACATTTTGCCAGGGCTGTGGCCAAACTATTCCCAATCAGACTCGTCCAAGCCCTAGTCTTCAGACAATTATTTCAATATGTTCACTGTTTATTTTAGCTTCATAATCCGCATCTGCAACATTCTGAAGAGACGTGTGATGGAAATATTTGGCCAGGGATGTAACAAAGGAGCATTCATTATTTAAGGGTATGGGGTCAGATGAGGGGTGTCGGTGATGATTTACAGGAGGGCACTCGCTTGTTGTCATTTTGTACAAAGATCCATAGGACAACCTCTTTCTTCATCATGTCGTACCTTTTAACTTTTAGTGAAACAGCCCATTTCTGGTGTCCCCCGCCGTGATATTGCTGGAATATTGCTAAAACGGCATACAACCTTTTTCATTTACTCTAGTAAAACAACGGATTGACTGGACCTTCTGTTTAACCAGCCAAAACAGAGGCTGCCACAAGGTAACAAATTAATACTGAAACCAACAACTCTGGTCAATCGTTCATCTCCCCGGAGAGTGGAAGCTTCGATCCCAAGCCGAGTAATACCAAAATTAAATAGATTGTACTTCTTGTTTCCCTGCCTGGCACTCGACATCAACTTCAGGGATAAAACAATACTGGTCGGATCCTACAATATACACTGAGTGGGGTATTCAAATTAAACTGTAGCATAGTATCAGCGGGCTAGCATTGTAAAGCTGTAGAAGCAGCCAGACACACACACCATATAAGGTGATCCTGACACCCCTGGTTAATCCGCCCACAACAGGGAGAATTCTACAGCGGTAATAATAATTTTTGTCAGCTATGAAAGATGTACGCCAACCAACTCACCTTAAGATATCCATTTCTAAATGAGTTCACAATGTACATAATGATTGCACTCTCGTCTTAATATATGGCGTGTATCTCAAGATGAAACATTTCTTTCCTTCTCTTGCTCGCTGCAGGTGATATTCCTCCAAATCCCAGTCCAAAAGAATCTCAGTAATGATGTAAGCATATTCCACATGAACATCAGAAGTATCCGGAACAAATTGACTCAAATCTACGATGATATTTGCGATTTCGATGTGTTCTTCTCTGAATCTCACCTCGACGCCAGCGTTCAGTCAGCCGATCTTCCCCTTGACCTCTTCCATTACCCGCACAGGAGGGACAGAGTATGTTTCGGGGTGGCATAATTGTATATTTCTCGAAACTACTTTGTGTCAAGCATATAACAGACTTGGAAGTATTTAATTCTGAATCAGTGTGGTTTCAAGTTTATTCACCTCAGAAATGTTTTCTATTTTGTGACACCTACCGCGCACCCAACACCCCTATTGCATATTGGACTGTTCTTGAGCACATGATGGAACTGCACTTGATGTTTCTCGTGACATCCTCCGACTTGGTGACCTGAAAGAAGATATTTTCAATACGAATATTCTCAACTTACGTTGTACAATAACACGAAAGAACCAATTTAGTTGTGATTGTTATTGTTCCTTGTCCGGGGTACTGACTTCAGTTCCGATGTATCGCACCACAGAGGAGTTTTCGTTTCTGTTAATGTTTATCTCAACACTATGAAGTCATATAAAAGACAAGTATGGCTCAACAAACAGGCTATGAAATGAATATGCAAATTATTCATAACAATAGAAACGAATTATTTAATGAATGTAGGGCACTAATGGGATGTGTGAAAATTTCCAGATTACACGTATGAGTGTACACCCTCAAAGTTGGTTGGTTGGTTGGTTTGTTGTTTAACGCCGCACTCAGCACTATTCCAGCTGTATGATGGCGGTCTGTAAATAATCGAGTCTGGACCAGACAATCCAGTGGTTGATATCATGAGCATCGATCCACCCAATTGGGATCGATGACATGCATCAACCAAGACAGCGACCCTGACCACCCGATCCCGTTAGTCGCTTTTTACGACAAGCATAGTCACCTTTTACGGCAAGCATGAGTTGCTGAAGACCTATTCTACCCCGGAATCTTCACAGGTCACACCCTCAAAGAATATAACTATTCGCCCTACGGAAAAAAAAACAATGTTTCTATAATTACCTCATAGGTAAGCGTCGTTCTTGATCCTTTTTCGAGCCAAGCATTACGACCTGGTAAAATAAGCCATTTCGTCACTCACAAAAGGCACAAATATTAGAATGTGCTTTAGAGGTAACTGTGGTCAAGAAAACTCCGAAAACATTGAAATGATTCTACAAGAAGCAGGTCGCATAGTAGCAGGTCTTTCTAAATTTTCTTCGAGATCGAATTTATATTTTGAGACAGGATGGGGTTGGGGGTCTGTAAGTAATCGAGTCTGGACCAGACAGTCCAATGATTGATATCATGAGCATCGATCTAGGCAATTGGGAAACGATGACATGCATCAGCCAAGTCAGCGAGTTGACCCCCCGATCCCGTTAGTCGCCTCTTCCGATAAGCATAGTCGCCTTTTACGGCAAGCATATGTTGCTGAAGACCTATTCTACCCCGGATCTTCACGGGTCTTGAAGTGATGTGTAAGTCAACCACGGGTCTAGCAGCAGTGAGGGAGTCTTTACTTATTGCGTTTCTGATCGCCAAGGTTTTTTTCACCAGAGGGGGTCGGTCGGAAAAAGATAAAGATTGCTGAATGCCTATTTGAGGCTTTGACAATCCACACCAAATATTCGACAATTTAAACATGTCTGGATGACATATATATCAAATGTTTGTTTCGGTTTACCGCGACCAGGTACTGACACCAGAACTTCTGCCTTTTATGGCAGCACATGGACCCGGTTTGATCTTCCAACACGACAATGCCAGACCCCACACAGCAATTTTGACAAGGAATTTCCTTCAGAATGCGGGAGTCAACGTCATGGACTGGCCGTCAAGGTCTCCCGACCTCAATCCCATTGAACACGTCTGGGATGCTCTTGGCAGAAGTCTGCGCACTCTCCAGAACCAACCACAGAATTTGAAAGATCTTGGCACCATTTTGCAGCAACAATGGCGTCGTCTTCCCAATCATTTGTTCACAAGCATCACAAGGTCCATGCGGAGGCGTTGTGTGGCAGATGTCAACGCACATGGTGGCCATACACGCTACTGAACTTGTGTGCGATCAGATTCTCGTGCTTGGGACTTATGATTTAAACTGTTGATGTTATTACCGAATACCGTAGGTGCTTGGAACAAATTATGGTTACCACCGTTAATTAAAATCTTTCTTTGGACATTAATGATTAAAAATTACCTTCTCTGATACATTTGTCCGTTGTATATCATATATGGGATTACTTTTTAAAATGTGAAGTTTTTAATTTGACTCAGTATACCTACTCCCTTGCCTTTCATTCTGAGTGATGTATATAACATGTCCGATATACCTAATCCCTTGCCTTTTATTTTGAGTGATGTATATAACATGTCGGATATACATACTTCCTTGCCTGTTATTCTGAGTGATGTATATAACATGTCCGATATACATACTCCCTTGCCTTTCATTCTGAGAGATGTATATAACATGTCCGATATACATACTCTCTTGCCTTTCATTCTGAGTGATGTATATAATATATCAAATATACACACTCCCTCAACTTTCAATCTGAATGATGTACATACTCCTTCACCGTTCATTCTGAGGGATGTATATAACATGTCCGATATACAAACTTCCTTGCCTTCTATTCTGAGTGATGTATATAACATGTCCGATAAACATACTCCCTTGCCTTTCATTCTGAGGGATGTATATAACATGTCCGATATACCTACTCCCTTGCCTTTCATTCTGAGTGATGTATATAACATGTCCGATATACCTACTCCCTTGCCTTTCATTCTGAGTGATGTATATAACATGTCCGATATACAAACTTCCTTGCCTTCTATTCTGAGTGATGTATATAACATGTCCGATAAACATACTCCCTTGCCTTTCATTCTGAGGGATGTATATAACATGTCCGATATACCTACTCCCTTGCCTTTCATTCTGAGGGATGTGTATAACATGTCCGATATACCTACTCCCTTGCCTTTCATTCTGAGTGATGTATATAACATGTCCGATATACCTACTCCCTTGCCTTTCATTCTGAGTGATGTATATAACATGTCCGATATACCTACTCCCTTGCCTTTCATTCTGAGTGATGTATATAACATGTCCGATATACATACTCCCTTGCCTTTCATTCTGAGGGATGTATATAACATGTCCGATATACCTACTCCCTTGCCTTTCATTCTGAGGGATGTATATAACATGTCCGATATACATACTCCCTTGCCTTTCATTCTGAGTGATGTATATAACATGTCCGATATACCTACTCCCTTGCCTTTCATTCTGAGTGATGTATATAACATGTCCGATATACCTACTCCCTTGCCTTTCATTCTGAGTGATGTATATAACATGTCCGATATACATACTCCCGGTAGTTATTATCTGAATTACGACATCAATTTATCAAGAGATTCAAGTTTAGTTCCCTTCATACCACTGTAAGGGAAATTTGCATTTTAGTTAATTGTTTATATTCCATTGTGCAACAGTACCCATGTGGGGTATCTAACCTGGGCCTTAATGAGAGTGAGTGAGTGAGTGAGTATGGTTTTATGCCGCTTTTAGCAATATTCCAGCAATATCACGGCGGGGGACACCACAAATGGACTTCACACATTGTACCCACGTCGGGAATCGAACCCGGGTCTTCGGCCACTAGGCTACCCGACCGCCCTTAATGAGAAGCAAACCACTAGGTTAAACACACGTTATTGGAAGTTAACCACTAGGTTAAACACACGTTGTCGGAAGTTAACCACTAGGTTAAACACACGTTGTTGGAAGTTAACCACTAGGTTAAACACACGTTATTGGATGAAAGCTCATCATCAGAGAGTGTATGGGATTCGAACCTTTAACCAGCGGATCCTGACATCCAAGGGATGCAACTCTGCACAAGTTTCTTCATTTTTCAAATAACACATCAACAATTCAACATCGAAAAGATTTATTTTCAGGTGATACAACAATTCACACACTTTCATTTTAATGATCTGTTCCCATCTGCAACACACAATACCGGAGCATTTTGCATCATATTCACTTGTTACCAAAACTTCTGTCTCTTTCAGTCAGTCACACACTGCCAAACAATACAACACAAATATGGAATGGATGAACAAAGGACTTGAAGTCACTGACTGAAGGGGTTTGGTATGAAGCGGAACAACTACTCTCAATAAGATCCAAGAAATTAACACACTTAAAAAAAACCACAAGTTCTCAGGAAATATATCCTTTTCAACCTGACTTATATTTTGGGGACACCTGAGCAATTTATTTTATTTTCTTGTGGACTCTTTCATTAATCTTGCACAAATTATAGTAAAAAAGAAAAGGCAAAATGTTGTTTTTTAATTTCTTTTAACTTTATATTTTGTTACGTTAATTTGTTTAATAAAAAACAGTAGAAATAAACTTCCTTTTTTCCAAGACTATTTTTCTTTTTTCTTATTTGGTCTCCTGACTTTTTATTTACTGACAGTACGAAGAAAGTACACACAAAAAAGGGCATACACAAGGTGGTTTAGCTGTATGGTAAATAAAAAAACAGTTCTTCACCAATGTTCCACGATGATCTTCTTGGGAGTCAAAATCAGAACTACCATCATGTTATGTTGGGCTATGGTAGGACCAGTGCCTGCCAACACATAATATAATACAGAGGAAGATTCCCAATAAGGATTGGTTCTTTATCTGTGAACATCTTGTACACAGATAAGTTCAAATTAACCTAAGGTGACCATGTGGCTAAAGAAAATACATTATTAAACTTTTAAGGATAACTGTCATTCAGAAATGTCTGCTACACTCGTAAGTCTGATTATGGTATTCTATCAAGAAACACACATTGCACCATACACAGATAAAAAACTTTAAAAAAAAATTGGTTCACAGGTTTTTGCACAGGTTTTGTGACTAACCTGAGAGAATGTTGAAAGTGAGGCATTGTTTGTAACAGTGCAAAACCAATCTCATTAAAATCAGATCTGAGTTCTCACTGCCACAAAACAAAGATCTGAAGACGTCCCATTACGGGTCACGTCAGAACGACCTTTCATCCAACCAATCAAAGCGTCGCTTACCAGATCATGAAAGTAACAGTCGGAATGTGTTGTCTCATCATGCAACCTTGAAAACGTTAACACGGGGTATTCTAAACGACAGTTATGGCCCGTACGACTGATTCCGTCAAAATTATTGTCTATCTCTCGCTTCCGTGGGATAAACATTTAAATGGAGGAGACACTGCACAGTACGTGGGAAGCACTGCCATACAATTCCAGAATGTTCGTTTGTTCAGTTTTCAAAATTTTAATCAAGAACTGTGTCAACATACTTTTCAAGCGTATTCTTAAATGGAAGTCGCCAGGTTGAAACGAATGCCGTAAAGCTCGAGAAAGCAGCTTTCTAATTGACTGATGTCGACTTCTTGTTAGTCATTTCAGTGGTCGGTCAAAGTTTGCGAAAGGTCGTTCCGACGTGACCCGAAATGATATGTCCTCAGATCTTTGTTTAGCGGCAGTGAGAACTCGGATCTGATTTCAATAAGATTGGTTTTTGCACTGTTACAAACAATGCCTCACTTTCAACATTCTCTCAGGTTAGTCACCAAAATATGGTCATGTTTCACCTGTGAATATCTTATGATCTACTGAATTATTGTATGTAAATTGTATGTAAAAGTATCAAAACGGAACAAATAGCATGTTGGTTACATTTAGTTCATCTCTATAGATAGCAACACACAAATATTTCCAATAGTCATTAAATATAACAATTCCGCTGAAAAATCTTCAAGTTTTGTATCCCCAGTCTATTTCCAATCACTCAATTAAGGGAAACTGGACTCAAAAGTAATGAGACCCTTATAAAATTGACAAGTAGTTAATGGAGAAGTTCAAATATCACCTGCAATCATGAGCAAGTACAAAGGTTGGCTGAAATGAGTGAAAATGCCAATTTTCAAACATTCAATTTAAGTGACCCAAGAAAAATGTTAACCATATGTTCGTACTGTTCTTAACTTCCTACGCACATCATCTGAGAAAACCGTCAACTTAAAGACTTAAAAAACAATGCAGTGGGTCAAAGAGAGTCCAAACCTCGTCCCTTATGTACAATATATCATTTCACGACTGTGAACATCTCCGTTTACATTAACCCTTTGCAGAATGAGTTACCGACAAGTTCAACTCCGATTACAAATCATGTATGTACATTAAACATGCTCTCCTTATGCCACACTCAGCAATATTCCAGCTATATGACAGCCATCTGTAAAAAAATCAAATCTGGACCAGACAATCCAGTGATTAATATCATGAGCATGGATCCACCCAATTGGGATATGATGACATGCATCAACCAAGTCAGTGAGCCTGACCACCCGATCCCATTAGTTGCCTCTTACGACAAGCATAGTCACCTTTTATCGCAAACATAGGTTGCTGAAGACCTGTTCTACCCTGGATCTTCACGGTATTCTTCAGTTTGAAATCAATGTCATATGAACATATTTCCCAAAACACACAGACATATTTTAAGACCATTTCTCTACTGGAACTCACAAGGATGGGTATGGTGCTGACAAACCAGGGACCATGATCAGAAATAATCTGGGATTGGAAACCCACATCTAGAAGTTCCTGGAGACAGAGGTACACAGTATATTTGAAGCTGGAACCAGCTACAACCAAATCGAACTTGAAGAAGTTATTATCATATGCCCAAAATACACATATCAATATCAAGTTCATTTAATGATGTGAAAATTGTCATTTGAATCTTACCCATTCTTCCCCAAGGATACACTACAAACTGATATAATGAAATCACCCGCATAATTGCGATCTTCACAAAACTGGCCTTTTAACAAATAAGTGATTATTGGTATAGAAATGATAGTATAAATGTCAGAGAACTTTATAAATGCTACAAAACTTGATTGAGCATATCATTATGACATACGACTCTGAATAAATAAACCAAATTATTCTATTAGATTAGTCTGCATCACTTCCAGGCTCTGTTTAAAGCTTTTCTTGATGCCAGTTTCTGTGATATAACGGACACTGCAATCATTATCAGCAACACTGTACCGATGAAAAGATAATCAAAATCTTCTTTAAGGACATCGAACATCTTGGAGGGATTCACTCGTGTGTAAAAAAGATCTGAAATAAATAGAAGTGCCAGTGAGTGAGTATTCTTTTATGCCGCTTTTTGCAATATTCCAGCAATATCATGGCGGGGGGACACCAGAAATAGGCTTCACATATTGTACCCATGTGGGGAATCAAATCCAAGTCTACGGCCTGACGAGTGAACGCTTTAACCACAAGGCTACCCCACCACCCCTATAGAAGTGCTAATAATTATGATTCTTAAACTTAACAGGGGTCTTATGTTAACCCAAATGTCCATAGCTAAATGGCCTTAAACCGACGACAAGCAAACATGTTACCCATAGCTGCACAGGTATCGTGAAACTTTTTATTTTCCATAATTCTATCTATGCAGATATTATTTCACTGTTTTCATTGTTTGTGAACCAGCCAATAGCAATGTGAAAGGCAGAAAATAGTAAATTCCATGACATTTCCATGCCTTTTTTGTTAATTTCCATTTGCCAAAACTTTGCCATAACATATTCTTTTAGAATCTTACAACTTTTACTTAAAGACCCCGAACCAAGGCTATAGTGTTTGATATAGAGCATAGGCTAGAACAAGTGCCCCAGTAAGACTATATATATAAGGTGCCCCAGTAAGACTACATATATAAAGTGTTAACTACAAAAACGAGAGGCTAGAACAAAGGCCCCTAGTAGGACAACATACATGAGGTGTCACCTACCAAGACCATAGGCTAGAGCAAGTGCCCCAGTAAGACTATATAAGGTGCCCTAGAAACACTATATAAGGTGCCCCAGTAAGACTATATAAGGTGTCACCTACCTAGACCATAGGCTAGAACAAGTGCCCCAATAAGACTATATAAGGTGCCCCAGTAAGACTAAATAAGGTGCCCCAGTAAGACTATATAAGGTGCCCCAGTAAGACTATATAAGGTGCTCCAGTAAGACTATATAAGGTGCCCCAGTAAGACTATATAAGGTGCTCCAGTAAGACTATATAAGGTGCCTAGTAAGACTATATAAGGTGCCCCAGTAAGACTATATAAGGTGCCCCACTAAGACTATATAAGGTGCCCCACTAAGACTATATAAGGTGCCCCAGTAAGACTATATAAGGTGCCCCAGTAATACTATATAAGGTGCCCCAGTAAGACTATATAAGGTGCCCTAGAAACACTATATAAGGTGCCCCAGTAAGACTATATAAGGTGCCCCAGTAAGACTATATAAGGTGCCCCACTAAGACTATATAAGGTGCCCCAGTAAGACTATATAAGGTGCCCCAGTAGACTATATAAGGTGCCCCAGTAAGACTATATAAGGTGCCCCAGTAAGACTAAATAAGGTGCCCCAGTAAGACTATATAAGGTGCCCTAGTAAGACTATATAAGGTGCTCCAGTAAGACTATATAAGGTGCCCCAGTAAGACTATATAAGGTGCTCCAGTAAGACTATATAAGGTGCCCCAGTAAGACTATATAAGGTGCCCCAGTAAGACTATATAAGGTGCCCCAGTAAGACTATATAAGGTGCCCCACTAAGACTATATAAGGTGCCCCAGTAGACTATATAAGGTGCCCCAGTAATACTATATAAGGTGCCCCAGTAAGACTATATAAGGTGCCCTAGAAACACTATATAAGGTGCCCCAGTAAGACTATATAAGGTGTCACCTACCTCGACCATAGGCTAGAACAAGTGCCCCAATAAGACTATATAAGGTGCCCCAGTAAGACTATATAAGGTGCCCCAGTAAGACTATATAAGGTGCCCCAGTAAGACTAAATAAGGTGCCCCAGTAAGACTATATAAGGTGCCCTAGTAAGACTATATAAGGTGCTCCAGTAAGACTATATAAGGTGCCCCAGTAAGACTATATAAGGTGCTCCAGTAAGACTATATAAGGTGCCCCAGTAAGACTATATAAGGTGCCCCAGTAAGACTATATAAGGTGCCCCAGTAAGACTATATAAGGTGCCCCAGTAAGACTATATAAGGTGCCCCAGTAATACTATATAAGGTGCCCCAGTAAGACTATATAAGGTGCCCTAGAAACACTATATAAGGTGCCCCAGTAAGACTATATAAGGTGTCACCTACCTAGACCATAGGCTAGAACAAGTGCCCCAATAAGACTATATAAGGTGCCCCAGTAAGACTATATAAGGTGCCCCAGTAAGACTATATAAGGTGCCCCAGTAAGACTAAATAAGGTGCCCCAGTAAGACTATATAAGGTGCCCTAGTAAGACTATATAAGGTGCTCCAGTAAGACTATATAAGGTGCCCCAGTAAGACTATATAAGGTGCTCCAGTAAGACTATATAAGGTGCCCCAGTAAGACTATATAAGGTGCCCCAGTAAAACTATATAAGGTGCTCCAGTAAGACTATATAAGGTGCCCCACTAAGACTATATAAGGTGCCTAGTAAGACTATATAAGGTGCCCTAGTAATACTATATAAGGTGCCCCAGTAAGACTATATAAGGTGCCCCACTAAGACTATATAAGGTGCCTAGTAAGACTATATAAGGTGCCCCAGTAAGACTATATAAGGTGCCCCAGTAAGACTGTATAAGGTGTTCCAGTAATACTATATAAGGTGCCTAGTAAGACTATATAAGGTGCCCTAGTAATACTATATAAGGTGCCCAAGTAGGACTATATAAGGTGCCCTAGTAATACTATATAAGGTGCCCCAGTAATACTATATAAGGTGCCCCAGTAATACTATATAAGGTGATCCAGTAATACTATATAAGGTGCCTAGTAAGACTATATAAGGTGCCCCAGTAAGACTATATAAGGCGCCCCAGTAAGACTATATAAGGTGTTCCAGTAAGACTATATAAGGTGCCCAAGTAGGACTATATAAGGTGCCTAGTAAGACTATATAAGGTGCCCTAGTAATACTATATAAGGTGCCCCAGTAATACTATATAAGGTGCCCAAGTAGGACTATATAAGGTGCCTAGTAAGACTATATAAGGTGCCCCAGTAAGACTATATAAGGTGCCCCAGTAAGACTGTATAAGGTGTTCCAGTAATACTATATAAGGTGCCTACTAAGACTATATAAGGTGCTCTAGTAATACTATATAAGGTGCCCAAGTAGGACTATATAAGGTGCCTAGTAAGACTATATAAGGTGCCCTAGTAATACTATATAAGGTGCCCCAGTAATACTATATAAGGTGCCCCAGTAAGACCATAAAAGGTGCTCCAGTAATACTATATAAGGTGCCTAGTAAGACTATATAAGGTGCCCCAGTAAGACTATATAAGGCGCCCCAGTAAGACTATATAAGGTGCCCTAGTACAACTATATAAGGTGCCCCAGTAAGACTATATAAGGCGCCCCAGTAAGACTGTATAAGGTGTCACCTACCTAGACCATAGGCTAGAACAAGTGATGTAGACTCGAGTCCGGCCGGTGTGGTGTGAATCCCGCGGATGTTCACCACACTCTGGTTGTAGTTGAGAGTCGCTTCCGTGAACACCTGGATCTCAGGAATGTACGGAATGGTGCCTTCTTCCCTGAAACACCAATGTGGCTCAAAATTATTTGTTTGTTTGTTTGTTTGTTGTCTAACAAACTCAGCAATATTCTAGCCAAGTGACAGCTTTCTATAGATAATCAAATCTGGACCAGACAATCAAAGATTGACATCATGAGCATTAATCTACCCAATTGGGATACGATGACATGCATCAACCAAGTCTGGACCAGATAATCCAGTGATTGACATCATGAGTATCAAACTACGCAATTGGGATACGATGACATGCATCAACCAAGTCTGGACCAGATAATCCAGTGATTGACATCATGAGCATCAATCTACACAATCGGGATACGATGACATGCATCAACCAAGTCTGGACCAGATAATCCAGTGATTGACATCGTGAGCATCAATCTACACAATTGGGATACGATGACATGCATCAACCAAGTTAGGAAGAGAGTAAATATGTATTTTTTTATCAGAAATATTCCAGCTCTCTCTGTTTCTCGGTTTCCTACAGGTTGCATTGAGTTGAGACTAACATTGTTTCTTGTGATGGTATGATGGGTCTTCTTGGGTCTAGCAAGGCCTTCGGAATAGAAAGAAGTCCCCCATTCCTGAGTGAAACTGAAACATAACAACATGGATATTACATGCACACGGGCTACACAGTGATTAAACTTGTTCAGTTGTCTTGTTATGATAGATTCTACTTGACAGCCTTCCAGACAAAATATAAACAGTTTAAATTAAGTTTATTGAAACTTTGAAACTTCTCAGTAAATTCTGACTTTAAATTAAATGACTGTAATCCAGGTATGACAACATGAATGAGGATTTAAACTTAGACTACATAAGTGAGGTGAGGTGAAATGGGGTTTAACGTCGCGTCCAAGATTATTGCACTTATATAGCGACGTGCGTGCACGTGTATGGTTGTGTATGTGTGGCTGCTTGTACTTGTCCGGACTGATGCCAATTTATAGTGCTAGCACACTGAGATACCATGCCGCAGTTTAACATGAATACCCCACTCAGACACAGTATACTGACTCCGAGCCGACCAGTCCTTGTTTTAGCCCCTTAATGCCGAGCGCCAGACAGGGTAACAACAAGTACCATCTTTTAACGTCTATTGGTATGACGCGGCTGGGGATCGAACCCCGGACCTTCCGCTCTCCGGGCGGACGCTCTACGACTAGACCACGGAGGCGGTGACTACATAAGTGAAATATTACATGCCTTCAGGTCTCACTACCACATACAGTCAAGTCCCTTTAATCCGGCATGGTTCGTTGCACATGATTATTTTGGATTAACGAGTATGTCGGATAAACGTAATTAGGTAGTATCAACGTTCGTGAGCGAAAATCGGACAGCTACATGATACATAACGATACAAACACGTGATAAATTTTTTTTGAAATATTCATATTGTTATGTTACATTGTAAGCGGAATATGCAACATCTAAAGCTGTTTCTTTATTCAAAGCATTAATTGTTTATTGTTAAGCAAGTTTATCTCTGCATCCGTTGTAATATGCAGCTACCAGCCGACTCGTCTCGCATCAAAACACTGGCTGTGTACTCGCGGGCAGATGACCACGGAGTACGCTGATCACTGTGTCGGATTAACGAGACTGATTAATGAGTGATTTTGGTCATTTGTTGCAAATTAGGTGTGTCAGAGTCAGAGTGCAAGACTGTCGGATTAACAGGTCTAAATAGTACTGATTTAATCGGTTCCCATCATTCGTGTCACATAAAGCCAATTGTCGGATTAACGAGACTTGACTTTAACAAGTTTTTGTTTCCTGTCAGTTAAAAATTATTTCCCAAATTGCAGCATGTGTTTTTATAGTGTGTCAGTGTATGAAAGAGTTAACAGATGAGTGAGTTGGGTTTACAGTGCTCTAAACAGTGTTTCAGTTATTGCTTGATGTACAGTCTGTTTGGCTCCAAATGAGAATGATAAATTGCAAAATAATTCAAAATCGGGAATAGTCTATTAAATGTCAATACGGTACACGGCAATAAATACCCTGTACCCAACAATATCTGCTGTTTGTTATTTTTATTCCCAACACTGTAAACAGTTGTGATGTGTACAAGTTGACATCTTGAAAGGAGGGGGGCACAATGGTAAGAGGAACAGCGCATACACAAACTGCACAAGCTACATCGCATACGTCGTCGTTGACTGACAAGGTGCGCTACTCAGTTGATGTGAAACAGTTGAATTTTAAGGTGTGTGATTTCTTTCCATGTGAAGCAGAAAGAGGAAAAACATTTTATGAGATTAATAAATACTTTAAACCAGCTTCTAATGTTCTTGGCATGTCTCCTAAAAAATGTTGTCGGTCGACAGGACTCTTGCACACAGGTGAAACATTTTTCAAATGAGTTAATTGGTCTAACACTGCTTTGAACAGGAATTCATTTATATCCTAGTGTGTCAGCTTCATGTGTAAGGAAAGCCTGCGCAGTGGATGTCTACTCACTGATGAGGTTCTTGCTGGTGATGCCCTTCTCGGTGACGGTGGTTGCCATGGTGCTGATGGAGAGGGGGAAGATGTAGGACTGGCGCAGCACGAGGGGCTGGGGAGGGGGGTTGAAGGAGGAGAAGGCTGTGGAGTTGCTCTGCTCCTTCCCTTCAAACATCTCCATCACTGACATCTCGGGGCGGCGGTGGCGCTCGTTGAAATAGGAGTACTGTACAACAGAAATAACCCACAGATAGAAGTAGAACTAGAGGTGAGATGAGGTGAAATGGGGTCTGACGTCGCGTCCAAAATTATTACACTTATATAGCAACGTGCATGTACGTGTGTGTGTATGTGTGGCTGCTTGTACTAGTCCGGACTGATGCCAATTTTATAGTGCTGGCCCACTGAGATACCATGCCGCAGTTTAACATGAACACCCCACCCAGACACAGTATACTGACTCGGAGCCAACCAGTCCTTGTTTTAGCCCCGTCATGCCGTGCCCAACAGGGTAACAACAAGTACCATCTTTTAACGTCTTTTGGTACGACGCGGCCGGGGATCAAACCCCGGACCTTCCTCTCTCCGGGCGGATGCTCTACCACAAGACCACAAAGGTGGTCTAGAAGGCAGTATTCTCCTGGACACCTCCACCTTATTGGTAAGAGATGTGAATAAGCTCTTTTCCTAGCAACAGTGTCTAAATTTGTCTGATGTAAAGTCTGGAATCTTGCTAAAATAACAGGGAGTTTGGGGACTTGCCCAACACAACAGTTTGAAATGAAATGCTTTTGGAAGTAAACGTAGTTTTCAGTTACCAAAGTTAATGAAAACTATTACTAGCTTGTTGAAATGTGGCCCAAATGGATGTCACTAATGAGGTCATTGAACCCCATAATGATTTTGGATCTTCAAGTTTTGAGTGCCGGTACGTTTTAAATGTTGATGTCCAATTTATTAAGAATTGCGTTGTAATTCAATTTGGAGGTTTTATCACATAAAACCACATACCAGTGCTAAGTTTGGGACATGTGATAGCTGGAACAAAACAAAACAAAACAAAACAAAACAAAACAAAACTTGTAACCAAATGGCTACTTGGAAAAAAATTAAACTTTGAGGCCTGATAGGTGTCTGGTAAAATGTATGTGAAATGGGGTTCAACATCGCGTCCTAGATTATTGCACATATATACATATGTAAGACGGATTCGTAGCTCCATGTTTGTGATGTTGGACTGTAAAGTGTTCAAGGTGACTTACCACCACCCAATTCTCAGCGTGGACAATGTTGACGGGTCCCTTTGCTCTCTTGTGGTTGACATGGAACACGATGTGACCTGTCACTCCATCGATCAGGTAGATGTTGAAGAAACTTGATGGGCCTTTAAACAAAACAAACATTAGTCCTAAACAGTAAATAAACTGATGTTCTGATGAAAGATTGTAACAGTTGATAGATCAGTTACCCTGCACATATGCAACAATATATTGTAAGTGAGTGAGTGAACTTTGTTTTAATGCCACAGTCAGCAAAATTGTGTCTATATCATGACAGTATATATATATATGTTTGTTTGTTTGTTGTTCAACGCAGCACTCAGCAATATTCCAGCTATTCAGTGATTGATATCATGAGCATTGATCCACACAATTGGGATCGATGACATGCTTCAACCTCTTATAACAAGGATAGTCATCTTTCACGGCAAGCATGGGAAATAATGTCATCTGGAATACAATTTGTATTCAAATGGTTCAATGTTTCCTCTGTTGTGTAAATAATAACACAAAAACACACTTAACCATCAATCAGTATTTTCAATGCTGGAAAAAGATTCATCAAATTTCAAATCATGGTAAAAACAGGTTCTTTCACATACAATACTGCAAAATACCAACCAAATAATAAGGATAATTGTTCAGTTTGAATAAAATCACTATGACCAATGATTGATGATAAAATAAAAATAAATTAGAAGAACAAGTTGACAAACTCACCTTTGTGAGTTGCCGATAACACAGCCGGTTCCTCTCCCTCAGTTACCACGGCAACCAAGTTAGGGTTAAGGTACTTGTACAACACACTCCTGTCCCCCAACACTCGACCTTGTGAGTGCACATGTTCTACAAAATAACAACAGCATATTACCATGGTTACCATGTGAGTGTGTTTGTTGTTTAACAGTACCCTCATCAATATCCCAGCTACGTGACAGCGGCCTGTAAATAATCGAGTAAGACCAGACAATCCAGTGATCGATATCATCAGCATCGATCCATGCCGACAATATTCGTTGGTACACAATGAACTAAGTCTATTTTTATGACCAGGGACAAATTTGTGTGTGGAGGTGGGGGGGGAGGGAGGAGAGAGAGAATCTGCTTGTACTAGTCCAGACTGTGAGAAACCAGACTGCTGTTTAAAAATGCTACCCTACTCAGACCCAGTACACTGCCTCTGAGTAGTGAGTGAGTGAGTGAGTATGGTTTTACGCCGCTTTTAGCAATATTCCAGCAATATCACGGCGGGGGACACCAGAAATGGGCTTCACACATTGTACCCATGTCGGGAATCGAACCCGGGTCTTCGGCATGGCGAGCGAACGCTTTAACCAATAGGCTACCCGACCGCCCCCTAGCATAACAAGAAATATGACTGAGTAGACCAGACCTTGTTTTATCCCCTTTATGCCAAGCGACAGGCAGGATAACAGTAAGTACCATCATGTTAAGTTGCTTCTGAAAATAAAAATAAGTTTTCTTCCAGTATGGCAAATTTAACTCACCATTAACCCTTTTGGAGATAACACTGACCACTCTCTGTTGCTTCTTCTGCAGGTCGATGTTCCAGACTGGGTCAGCTTCAAACTCCTGCTCATACAAACCAGATACATCCATTACAATTGGGACATTCTTCGCCTAACACCATAGTGGCTGACTGCCTTGTTTACAGAGATACATTCATTACAATTGGGACATTCTTCCCCTGAAGTCATGGTGGCTGACTGCCTTGTTTACAGAGATGAATCCATTACAATTGGGACATTCTTCCCCTGAAGTCATGGTGGCTGACTGCCTTGTTTACAGAGATGTATCCATTACAATTGGGACATTCTTCGCCTAACGCCATAGTGGCTGACTGCCTTGTTTACAGAGATGCAGGGGTCCGGAAACCGTCATATGCGCCGGACATGTCCGATTGGGAATCTCAAATGTCCGTTTTAAAATATTGCTTACCGGACATTTTAAAAAGTATTGTCCGGACATTCTTAAATTTTGACCGGACATGATCAAAAGTTAGGACTGAGCAGTTTCTGTCTGCAGTTGCAACACAATGAAGATTAACTACACTGACAAGCTTTGTTTGTTTTGATTGCTGTAAATACATCGTACCAACATGAGAGTCCAATCGGTCAATCACTGTAATAGGCAATAAACTGAGTTGACACTGATTAATCAAGGATTAATTACTGAGAACATTTTGTTAATTTGAGTGAAAGGTGTTTACAACTGTACATTAATACCTTGCATCATCGATGTACCTCATTATCCTCACAATGCTACGATACGTAACCTCAGACAAGAAGCGAAAGCGTGACGACAGCCAGTCGACCGATGCAGATCAGTCGAGCGGATCTGCCAAACCCTCAAAGTCTGGACGATCATTTTGTAAGTCGTGGCTAACGACTTTCACTTGGTTGACATACAATGAGGATTTGCGAATTTTATTTCTTTTCAGTAGCTAGTCGTATATTGAATCTTGATTGACCACCATTTTGCTTTCTCGGACGATCGATATCCAATTTTTTTATGGTCTATAATAAAGTACAGATGAAAAAAGTATTCAAATAACTATTGCTATCAACGATATTTTAGTATTTGTGATTAAATTATCTGTCTTGTTTTTAAAAAAATCTTTAGTTTAAAAAAAACCTTTTCCCGTGAGGTCACGTGATAACCAAATATGGGATAATAGTCTCGATCCAAATGTTACAACGCGTACACTTGAGCAGACTCATGAATATAACTCATGAATATTAATTAGATCGTTCACTACGTTAACAGATCGTTATTATAACAGAAACAAACGTATGTTTTCCATGTAAATCTAAAATGATATTATTTGCTATTAATTGTCCGGTGAATTAAACAATTTAAACTGAAACAATTCATAATTCATCATATTATGAATACGTAAACTTGTAATGTGTGTGAAAAGTCGTACTAAAATACGCTATTTGAATGGGGCGTGGCCTAAATGCAAATGTCCGATTGGGATTTTAAATTTTCCGGACCCCTGCAGAGATGTATCCATTACAATTGGGACATTTTCCCCTAAAGCCATAGTGGCTGACTGCCTTGTTTACAGAGATGAATCCATTACAATTGGGACATTTTCCCCTAAAGCCATAGTGGCTGACTGCCTTGTTTACAGAGATGAATCCATTACAATTGGGACATTCTTCCCCTAAAGCCATAGTGGCTGACTGCCTTGTTTACAGAGATGAATCCATTACAATTGGGACATTTTCCCCTAAAGCCATAGTGGCTGACTGCCTTGTTTACAGAGATGAATCCATTACAATTGGGACATTTTCCCCTAAAGCCATAGTGGCTGACTGCCTTGTTTACAGAGATGAATCCATTACAATTGGGACATTCTTCCCCTAAAGCCATAGTGGCTGACTGCCTTGTTTACAGAGATGAATCCATTACAATTGGGACATTCTTCCCCTAAAGCCATAGTGGCTGACTGCCTTGTTTACAGAGATACATTCATTACAATTGGGACATTCTTCCCCTAACGCCATAGTGGCTGACTGCCTTGTTTACAGAGATGAATCCATTACAATTGGGACATTTTCCCCTAAAGCCATAGTGGCTGACTGCCTTGTTTACAGAGATGAATCCATTACAATTGGGACATTCTTCCCCTAAAGCCATAGTGGCTGACTGCCTTGTTTACAGAGATACATTCATTACAATTGGGACATTCTTCCCCTAACGCCATAGTGGCTGACTGCCTTGTTTACAGAGATGAATCCATTACAATTGGGACATTTTCCCCTAAAGCCATAGTGGCTGACTGCCTTGTTTACAGAGATGAATCCATTACAATTGGGACATTCTTCCCCTAAAGCCATAGTGGCTGACTGCCTTGTTTACAGAGATACATTCATTACAATTGGGACATTCTTCCCCTAACGCCATAGTGGCTGACTGCCTTGTTTACAGAGATGTATCCATTACAATTGGGACATTCTTCCCCTAAAGTCATAGTGGCTGACTATCTTGTTTACGTAGGTTGGCATGGTATTAAGTCAAATTCAAGAAACAATCTGCAAATGTAGCCACTGGTATGTTACGTCTAGTAAGCTTATTATTTAGTATTATAAAAGCACCACAACCTACTGAAAATGAAAGCCAAAAGAAATTCCCTAAATAACAACATATTAAAATAGAAATGCCAGAAATTTTCAAAACAATGATTTGAACTTGAACTGGCTCATGTCTGATCAGCCATAGAGTCCTCATACGAACACTGTAATATACTGAAAATGAGACCAAAAACACAATTCCCAAAGAAATAACGAACGAAAATCAAAATGCCAGAAATGAAGAAAACAATGTTTGTAGTTTGTTTACGACAAGCGTAGTCGCCTCTTACGGCAAGCATGGGTTGCTGAAGACTATTCTTCCCCAGATTTTCTCGGGTCGATGAAAATAATGCGTAACAGTGCAGACACTCACCCCATTACTTCTTGCTACGAGTCGGTATCCATTCATGTAGCCTGTGTCTATCTCTGACAGGTACATGAACATGGAGGAGAGACGTTCTTTTGCAACGGACTTCACATTCTCCGGGTAGAAGCGGGCCTACATATGTACGACAAGAACACAGAACTCAACAGATATTCTCCCCCAAGGCAGTGAATTTGAAGCCATATAAAAGAATTTATCGTGGACCAGTTCATAATAATTGTGAACATCATTAAAATATACAGAGCATTTGATAATTTGTTTAAGGTACTGTCAGACAACTGATTCAGTATTGCAACAGAGTGAATATTGTCAAGTCACCAATATTCTAGCCATGAGGATCTTTCTGAAAACATGGTTGAAGACTTATCATTTGATATCATCACACATAATTCCACAGAAAGCAAATTCAAATCCTTTTCAATAAATTCTCAAAGAGTTTTAGTCCATTTTTAGACATTCTAACATAGGGCTTCCAAGGCTGGAAGTCAACTTTAAGGCCAATTTAAGCCTGTGTGAAGCTTGTTTGTGTATGTTTCTTGTTTAAAACAAAACTCAGCAATATTTCAGCCAAATTCTAATTGATATTGTGAGCAGAGGTCCATACTGTCGGGGTACGAGTGAGTGAGTGAGTGAGTGAGTGAGTGAGTGAGTGAGTGAGTGAGTGAGTGAGTGAGTGAGTGAGTGAGTGAGTGAGTGAGTGAGTGAGTGAGTGAGTTAGTTTTGTTTTATGCTGCTTTTAGCAATATTCCAGCAATATCGTGGCGGGGGACACCAGAAATGGGCTTCACACATTGTATCCATGTCGGGAATAAAACCCGGGTCTTCGGCGTGTCAGGGTACAAAGACACTCAATCAACTAAGTCACCACCCGATCCATTAGGTCGCCTCTTACGACCAGCACAGGTTTCTATGGTCTAACCCGGTCTCCCCAGGTCATTTCACATCACTCACCCTGTAGTCAGAGCCGAGGAGAACCAGGCCTCTCACAAAGTCCTCGCTCATCTCGGAGAGAAGGGCAGCCTGGATGACATCATAGCCAAGGTCAAGGCCATTGGTTGGCAATCCTTCCACAGGGGACCCAGTCACTGGGTCAAAGGCGTAAAGGAAGCCGTTTCCAGTTTTCTACAAAAGACACACATTCATCTTCTGAATTCAGTAGTTATAAATTCTGAACTAATACTTGACTTCACATTGCGTTATTAAGAATCAACCTTAAGGCTCAAAAAAGTAATAGTCTTGGTTCTCAGGCACTGCCCACATCATCATAAAGTTCATTGTACGTTTTGCATATGTTTCCATTTTCAATTTTCTTTGTGCATTGTGTTTAAGTACCGTATTTTCTTGAGTATAGTGCACACTTTTTTTTTCAAAAGTCACAGCTGTGTAGAATAGCGATCAGCTGGTAAGCTTAACTTTATTATGATTTTAAATATATTTAGTAAAAGCTGCAACTAAAATAACAAGATAATGGAATATATTATTCCTGATAAAAAAATAGTTTCAGATACAATTTATGCCGATCCTTGCATTAAAATCCTGTAAAGTTATATCTTTGGGTGTGTTTTGACCGAATCATCGGTAGATTCCAAGAAAACGAGTGTACAGCTGATTGCTGTTTCCGGCTTAGTTTACGAGAAAATACAGACGGTAATCTTAATCCCTGGATGTAAAACAATGCTTAGCAGAACAAAAAATATTAATTAAACGGTAAATCAACATGTGATAACAGGTAATATTTTATCTCAAATTTCAAATTTTTACTGACCACGTTTCTTATCAGCCGTTCGTTTACCGGAATTCGCTGAAGAGGTACAGTGTAATTTATTTTTGCGCATAATATTCAGTTATCAGTTATATCCCCCCCCCCCCCCCCAAATACTGAATTCCCTAGAGGAGGGTGCGCACTATACTCAAGAAAAGACGGTATTAGGATTTTTATATTTTTTTGAAAATGGAAATATAAACAAAACAGGCTGCAGACTTTATGATGATGTGGGTGGTGCCTGAGAACCAAGACTATTATTTTTTTTAGCCTAATTGACTTTGGGTTAGACACAATTCGGAAAAGTTCATTCTTATTGTGAGAATTGTGAAAAATTGTTGATAACCTAAGAAATCAGTTATCACAATTTATCTTGAATTATTTATTTAAGATGTTGAAATACAAAAGTGAAACATACAAACAAATAAACGTTCAAAACAATCATGTTCAAGCAAACACTGTCACATGTTACATAATCTTAAAATGGAAATGGAGTAATGATCTTCAAACATTAACCATTGAAAACAATACTGAGAATGTCTCCTTTTGGTATTGTAACAAATGCAAGATGTTTTATTTACAGATTTAGATAAGGCCTGAGAAGCAAGAATATCTCATTCCATGGCCGTTTATCCACTAAATTACATCTGACAGCTGCGCTCCACTCACCCGACTCTTGCCGACCACGACACACTGGGGCAGCAGAGGGAAGTGAGCTGTGGTCCTCTGTGTGTATAGCACCAGCCTCTGTTTCGAGTAGCGGTCAAAGGGAGACAACTCTGGCAGGAACTGCTGCCACACCAACTTGCCTGTGTGACTTCGCAAACCAAATATCTGCAACAGAAAGAATCAATTTCAAACGATTTTGCTTTCCTTGAACAAAAATAGAACTATGACCTGTAAAACAAAATATTAGCGTAAAAAATGAGGTGATGGGGTAACCAAATGGTCAAAGCATTTGCTTCATGCCTTAGGCTAAAAAAAATAATAGTCTTTAGGGCTGGGACAGGTAACTCGGGTACTCGGGTCAGGTGGGTCATTGCTTGAACCAGAATCCTATTTATCAAATTTATGGTACAGGAATTCTCGTAACACCCTTATTCATTTTAGACTTGGCCTGAATGATCTAAAAATTAACACAGGGAGATATTCATCTATTGAGAAATCGATACGATTATGCCCATTTTGTGACATTGTTGTCGAAGATGAATACCATTTCATGTTTATTTGCCCTATATACGAAAATCTAAGAGACAAGTACTTACCGCAGTGGTCTCTATCTCATGTTAATGCTAAAAGATTGTCTTCATTACTGTCTTGCAAGGATCTTATAACACAACATCAACTGGCTCTGTACATACATAATGCTTTTTTGTTACGAAGTGAATTGTTACCTTGACTTTGTATTTTATAAAATATGTTATGTAACTCCGTTGTATATGGGCCTGCGGCCTTTCATACAATAAAGAATTGAATTGAATTGAATTAATGCCTTAGGCTAAAAAAAATAATAGTCTTTAGGGCTGGGACGGGTAACTCGGGTACTCGGGTCGGGTGGGTACTGAGTAGGACCCAGGTACCCACAGGACTACCCGGACCCGTGGTTAGTCCCGTGATTATATTGTTTAATGGCAAACATTATCTAGAAATCTGTGGTTACACTATAAGTGACACATGTTCACGTTTCTTTCCGACTATGCACATATTCTTTCTGACTTTATATGTTTGCATAAAGATAAAACTTCAGTCAAGTTCAGTGTATGCATGACCAGATCATTTTATACCTGTATCTAAATACATTTTGACAAGAGTACGGTCAAACGTTTGTACCTATCTCTTGAGACCTACAGCTGGTACCTGGGTTGGGTCAGATAATATGGGGGTGGGTAACTGGGTAGTAAATTTAAATATAAAAATCCTTATACTTAAACACAATGCACAAAAAATTTTGAAAATGAGAACAAAAACGAAACGTCCAATGAACTTTATGATGATGTGGGCAGTGTCTGAGAACCAAGACTATTACTTTTTTTAGCCTGAGAACACTGTTTTATTCCCTCCCTGTGTGTGCGCGCATGCGTTCGTCTACTCATATAAGTCAGGACCATACCACAGTTTAACATTGATACCCCAATTATACGACACAGTACACTGATTCAAAGCTAAACATTTCTTGTTTTATCCCCTTAAAGTTGACCGCCAGGCAGGGTAACAACAAGTACCATCATTTAACGTCTTTCGATATGAAGTGCCGAGGGATCAAACCACCGACTTTCCGTTCTCTGGGCCACGGAGGTCTGAATCATACACAAATTATTTCAAGGCAGTTTGTTTCATTTTGATCTTCTCACCTTCCCTGATGCTGTGACAGCGATGATGATCTTCTTCAGGTTGAACTCATCGCGGGTCAGCTCCTCCTCCATGTCATCCTCCTCATTCTCCAGGTCCTCGTTGTCATGGGCAACCATGGAGGAGTGATGTCGGTGGCCCTGAAGCTTGCTGATCAGGCCTTCAGCAAATGACTGTTGAAAACATGCATCTATCTGAGTGAGTGAGTGAGTGAGTTGGGTTTAACATTATTCCAGTTACATCACGGCGTGTCAGCTTAATGTGGGAGGAAAGCTCGAAGTAATGCAGGTCTCAGACGTTTACCACTTCGGTGAAACCCACGAGCACGGGTATGGTGCTGACAAACCTTGAAACATAATCGGGGCGAACCTGGATTCGAAACCCACAATCATAGGTTTCTGGCGTGCCCAAGGGACGCAACTCTGCACAGCGAATCACGGCACCTTAGACGACTGGGCCACCCATGCCCCCTGCATCTATCTGAGACTAGCAGAGTGCATACATAGACTTTCAAACAATAATCCAAAGATAGTAAGCCCGTCTGATTTGAATATGTATATGATAATTAATTTTTTTCAAATTATTACAATCAACTACTTCAATCAACATAGCAAGTGCCCTCCCATAATTATCGCCAACTCCATCTTTATAACTACAATACTAAAAAGAAAATGTGTTAAACACCTTGCGCCCTAAATACATCATTAAAAATTTTCAGACAAATCTTTAAAAATGTTAGTCGTGCTAAATTCAATTTCAAACTGAAAGTTCTTTTCAATATAATATGAGCTTCCACTGTGATGCAGCCATCAAATCAGCTGTTTCAACCAGAGGTGGTTAATGTGATTTGATACCTCTCAGTTAAAAATTGCTATCTTACGAACAATTTGACAAAAACACACTACCTGTATCTGGGACAGTTGTGCCAGCAGCCGTTTCACAAACATCGCAGCAATATCATCTGAAACAATCCCGAAACAACCATTTCACAAACATCACAGCAATATCATCTGAAACAACCACAAAACCGTTTCACAAACATCGCAGCAATAGCGTCTGAAACAACCCCAAAACAACCATTTCACAAACATCGGAGCAATATCATCTGAAACAACCCCAAAACAACCATTTCACAAACATCGCAGCAATATCATCTGAAGCAACCACAAAACCGTTTCACAAACATCGCAGCAATAGCATCTGAAACAAAGAGGAAGAGAGTGTTCTCAAACCATTTTTAGCTGAGCGGACTTAAATATACATAACTAAAAATTGGGGTCTGTCTGTATCTTTATTTAATGCTGTAATGAAATCATAATAACGACTGCAAATATCTGTTTTAATGCATCACATCACAATTTGAAAGAAAATTTGTTGTCCTACAGAATTAGTGAGTGAGTTTGGTTTTACGCTGCTTTTAGCAATAGTCCAGCAATATCACGGCTGGGGACACCAGAAATGGGCTTCACACATTGTACCCATGTCGGGAACCGAACCCGGGTCTTCGGCGTAATCCTACAGAATGAAGTTTCTGTGAAGAATTTGCAGGAACAGGTGTCTTTACATTAGTTAGGTGTCATATAACAGCTTGTTCTTCCACTATGTTAGGCATATTACATCAACATGGAACCTGATAATAACCATATTTTCTTGTATATGGTGCTCACTTATTTAAAAACACAAATACAGCTGTGTGGAGAGAGTGTGCATCATATATGCAGACAAAAAAAATTGATAATTTTTCCCAAAATAAAGTCATTACTATACATCGTGAACAGATGACTGCTATTCCTGGCTTCTCCGCGTTTAAAACATTGCCTAGCATAACAAGTGAGTGAGTGAGTATGGTTTTACGCCGCTTTTAGCAATAGTCCAGCAATATCATGGCGGGGGACACCAGAAATGGGCTTCACACATTGTACCCATGTCGGGAATCGAACCCGGGTCTTCGGCGTGACGAGCGAACGCTTTAACCACTAGGCTACCCGACCGCCCCCTAGCATAACATGAAATATGACTGAAATTATAAACCATTCATGATCAGCATTATACTTAAGTGTGCATATATTGTACTGACATTAATATATCGTGTGTTTTAACAGATTTTAGGCATTATATCCTCCGATCTATGGATCAAGTGATCTATTGTTGAGAAGAAGGAATCTAGCTGTCAGGGAAATACAACCTTATCTGTCAGGGAAATACAACCTAATCTGTCAGGGAAATACAACATAATCTGTCAGAGAAATACAACCTAATCTGTCAGGGAAATACAACCTAATCTGTCAGAGAAATACGACCTAATCTGTCAGGGAAATACAACCTAATCTGTCAGGGAAATACAACCTAATCTGTCAGGGAAATACAACATAATCTGTCAGAGAAATACGACCTAATCTGTCAGGGAAATACAACATAATCTGTCAGGGAAATACGACACAATCTGTCAGGGAAATATGACCTAATCTGTCAGGGAAATACGACCTAATCTGTCAGGGAAATGCAACATAATCTGTCAGAGAAATACGACCTAATCTGTCAGGGAAATACAACCTAATCTGTCAGGGAAATACAACATAATCTGTCAGAGAAATACGACCTAATCTGTCAGGGAAATACAACCTAATCTGTCAGGGAAATACAACCTAATCTGTCAGGGAAATACAACATAATCTGTCAGAGAAATACGACCTAATCTGTCAGGGAAATACAACATAATCTGTCAGGGAAATACGACACAATCTGTCAGGGAAATATGACCTAATCTGTCAGGGAAATACGACCTAATCTGTCAGGGAAATGCAACATAATCTGTGAGGGAAATACAACCTAATCTGCCAGGGTAATGACAGGCAACTTGTCACATACATATATATTTTCCCAACTTCAATCTCAGATATTTACCTTCAATGGATCCAAATTCATCCTCAAACTTGGCCTGGTTCTCGGACAATGGCAGATCGACCATTTCCACACTGAGAATATAAGCCAGCGACTCCTCTCTTCGCCATGTAGTTTTCCCTGGACAAACATATACAACAATACAGACTTTGTTGGGGAGAACAACTTCAATACCATATCTGCTGTAATAAGTGCCCAGGGCACTTAGAAAACTTACAGAAGGGCGCAGTTATTGAAACCATACACAAGTTAAATTTGTTGTCAGAGACAGAACAGTGGGTGAGTGAGTGAGTATGGTTTTACGCCGCTTTTAGCAATATTCCAGCAATATCACAGAAATGGGCTTCACACATTGTACCCATGTCGGGAATCAAACCCGGGTCTTCGGCGTGACGAGCGAATGCTTTAACCACTAGGCTACCCGACCGTCCCTGTATAGAACAGACTTAGTTCAAAAGTCCATTAAACTAAAACATGTTCAATACTAGTCAACACATACACTTTCTACACTGTCGTGTTAACTGCAAAAGAACTGTAATATGCGCAAGAAAATAAACAACTTTCAGACTTAGAACCATGAGCTTTTAAGGATTACCTACAGATTTGTCTTGAAGCTGCTTATTGGAGCAGGCGCTTAATACGGCGAATACAGTATTAATAATTCATGGCAAAGTGTGTTAGTATTTCACAGTTATGTCCAGCCTCCAGAAGTTAAGGCAGATAACTGATGCTGAGTGAGTGATTAAGTTGGGTAAATGTTCCCTTAAACAGTATCAAAAAGAGGGGAAAAGAGCCTCAACTGATGTTGGTTGTTGTTTAACGCCGCACTCAGCAATGTCCCAGCTATATGAGGGCAGTCTGTAAATAATTGAGTCTGGACCAGACAATCCAGTGATTGACATCATGAGCATCGATCCACGCAATTGGGATACGATGACATGCGTCAACCAAGTCAGCGAGCATTACAACCCGATCCCGTTAGTCGCCTCTTACGACAAGCACCAAAGATCCGAATCAAAATATAGGAATTGAACACAAAACCAGCTGATCCTTGATGTTAAGGGACACAACTCAGCACACAGACCTGTAGAATCTTAAACCACTGGGCCACTTTCTGACAGAGGGGAAAGAGAAAAAATCCAATAGAATTTCAGGAACAGAAATTTCTTGAACATACTTAAAACATTACGTACTCACATTCTACCCTTGATTTCCTTAACTCCATAATATAAGATGACAGTAATCCCATCATAAAACATAAGTGGCAAGTAACATTACATATCAATTCAACTTCTAAAGTATGATTTTGGATTACTGGGACAAAAAGTTGCTGTGGAATGAGTTGTCTCCCTTTGATCAGTCCATCATCAACATTCAGCAGCAATGAGACTGTCTGTCCACCTTGTTTGTTTGTTTAATTGTTGTTTAAGGCCACACTCAGCAATATACCGGCTATATGACGGCGGTCTGTTAGTAATCGAGTCTGGACCAGACAATCCAGTGATTGACATCATGAGCATTGATCCACACAATTGAGATCGATGACATGCATGAACCAAGTCAGCGAGCCTGACCACCTGATCCCGTTAGTCGCCTCTTACGACAAGCATAGTCAAGCATGGGTTGCCAAAGACCTATTCTAACCCGGATCATCACGGGTCTCTATCCACCTACCTGATCTGAAGTGAATGGTGTAATCTTCAGAGGTGAAGGCTACTTTACAGGACATTCTTGAATCTTTCTTGCGATTGAAAAGCAGCCCATTTAGCTGTGGGAACAAACAAAAACAAGTATTTGTCACAAAGTGACGAAATGTTCCCCGCCTGTATATACACCATAGTACCAAATATGAAGACAATCCAGTGTTTAGTTCTTGAGATATCGCGGCAACAAACAGGTGGGACGTAGGTACGGACGGACGGTCGTGAATACTATATGCCCCGCTCCGCGCTTTCGCGCGGCGGGGGACAATCAGGCAGGTGTTGTGTAATTCAGTGTTTTACTTTCGGCTAATTCTGAGCTGAAGTGAGGTGAAACGGGGTTTAACGTCGCGTCCAAGATTATTGCACTTAAATTGCGACGTGCATGCATGTGTGTGTGTGTGTGTGTGTGTGTGTCTGTGTGTGTGTGGCCAGACTGATGCCAATTTATAGTGCTATCCCACTGAAAAACCATGCTGCAGTTTAACATGAATACCCCACTCAGACACAGTATACTGACTCCGAGCCGACCAGTCCTTGCTTTAGCCCCTTAATGCCGAGCGCCAGACAGGGTAACAACAAGTTCTGCTCTCTGGGCGGACGCTCTACCACTAGACCATGGAGGTAGTCCTTGCCTAATTGAGGTAGTCCTTGCCTAATAAGATCACACTGATTGATTGATTGGGTGATGTGAACACCTCACTCGGCTATATGACAGCAGTCTGTAAATAATCGAGAGATGTGACATCATGCATTGAAAGATGACACATTGTCTACGATTTAATCTTACAGCTTATAAAAATGTTAGGCCCAAAATATATTTTATTTTTAGGGCTTAGAGATATTTGTCCTTATTAAAAAAGTAAAGTGGTTGACTAGTCTTGTCACACACATTGCATGAGAAAATTGAACTGTTTTTTCCTAATTTGAATTATTGTTTAATAACTCACATAGAAAGTTGCTTTTCATATGACTATATCAATTTGAAATGGTTTTGTCTCAAATATTGCTGTTCAAAATAATTTGTGAAAAAATATACGAATCTGAATATTTATATCTCCACTTTTCACACTTGATGATCGGTTGATCCATAAAACAGAAAACGTATGTCTGGGGTAAAAGTAGCATGTGACAATGTCTGACCATGTTAGGATGTCCGTGTGTGTTGGTGAAGGCCATGGTCTGGGCCAAGTCGGCAACCTCCCCCCAACTCTTCATGTCGTATGCGGTCAGGGACAACTGCAACATACACAACACATCATCATCATCATCATCATCATAATAATAATAATTTATGCGTAACATACACAAGATGTCACTAAATCATTGCTTTACCACAATATATTTCTACCTTTTTCTAGTATGTAATAGTTGGTGTTGCAGCAATTTCGTCAAATCAGATCAGATCTTTTACGCCGATTCGATACATCTCTGTCATGATCTGACAAACCTTCCAAAGGTCACACAAGGTGAACTCTGAGCAAACTTTGATCGTCTAATCAGATGACAGATGTGATGGTTCTTGAGCCAATCAGATGCCTGTTTCCCATCATAATTCCCCTTCATTGCATCTTGTCAGGTGCAGTTTTGAAAGATAAATTACTTTACCACCTTTCTCCTGATTATGATTGTTGTTTGTTTGTTTGTTTGTTTGTTTGTTATTTTAACGCCGCAATCAGCAATATTCCATCTATATGATGACGGTCTGTAAGTAATCGAGTCTGGACCAGACAGTCCAGTGATTGACAACATGAGCATCGATCCACGCATTTGAGATCGATGACATGATTCAACCAAGTCAGCGATCCTGACCACCTGATCCCGTTAGTCGCCTCTTACGACAAGCATAGTCACCTTTTACGGCAAGCATGGGTTGCTGAAGACCTTTTCTAACCCGTAACTTCACGGCCTGATTATGAAAATTTGGTCAGAACAAAACTTGCTATAGCTACAGGGCTAAAAAATACTAGTTTGAACAAGCAACAACCAAAAAAACACTGCCTGCCTGCTCTATATTTTGAAAAGTCATTGCCTGAGAACCAATTCTTTTATTTTTTTAGGCCTAGCAAATCCAGTTATAAGATACAGAAATCAGAATGGCTCTCTGAATTCCACGTTCCCTTTCGTCTAAAATTTTGAAGCCTCCATGCCAATTAGCTGATTAGAAAGCCTCCTCCTTTTTGGGGGTCCTATTATCAGTAATAATATACCAGTGTTCCTTCACAAAGCCATAGCATTAGTTATTTTGCTCACTTACTGTACATCAACATGAATTGGGAAATATTTATTCCAATTTGGGATAATTTTCAGAAATTTGATGCAGCCTCGGGGCCTAATGTCATGAATATCGGCCTTGCCTGGCTCCCCACCTGTTGTCTACAGGGGCGGATCCAGCAGTTTTGAAAGGGAGGGATACAAAATATCAAAATCCTCTCAGATAATTTGACTGCCTACAACATACTACTTTTGGTTTTCAAGGATCCACCTATGCTTCACATGTCCCTGCTATAGCAGATTCTCACCTCCAGCCCTGACCTTTCCAGTGTGAGGAGGAAGTCTCTGTCTCCCTGGTATGTGATCTGGGCAGATGATGCCTGGAATAGATCATCATCATCATCATCATCATCATCATCTTCATCATCGTGTTCTTCAGGTATGCTACCGTATATCGCTGTGTATAAGGCGAGTTTTTCGTACCTAAAATGAGGGGGCTAAGAAGGGGGGTCGTCTTATACACGGAGTCGAAGATCTCACATTTTTTTCCACTGGCGATGTCAACCGGCGTCCGATAGCCAGCCCAGCATTTGACAATAAAACTTCGCATTTCGTCCTAAATAACTGTTCCAATAACTATTTCCATACATAAACATCCTTGAATAAAGTTTAATAATTTCTGCAAATAAAGTTGAAATGACCCTCGCCTCGATGCAGATTGTCAAACCACCTGACACGGTAAAACAATCAACATCCGTGAGCAGAGAGCTGGAAGTACCGGTAAGCATTTGCATATTGCACATGTGACCTAACATGTGATAACCGGTGAAGCTGAAATCAATTCCCGCTGTTTTTACAGTTGTATTAACAAGTGTTGGAGACGGTGTGTACAAGTGATTGTGGAATAAACACGCTGAATGTGAAGCAAACATAAGAATAGTTAGTTATAACATAGTTAATTGGCGATTAAATTACTCACCATTGTCTCTTATATGTTATTACTTCATAAATGAATTTTATTTTACGGGCACCAATTTGATGTCGTACCGTGTAAACACAAAATGGCGACGTGTGCTGGAGTTACACACGCGACCTATCATTGTAGAAAAAAAACAACGCAAGATAAAAATATTTTTATTTCATATATAAGGTTTGTGTGCGCACTTGTGATGTGTGCGAAATATGCATCAGTCGGAAAGTGCACATTAAATCTCCAAAGTAACTAACTAACTAACTAACTTGTGATGTCCGTGTGCGAAATACGCTACAGTCGGAAAGCGCACATTAAATCTTCTATATCAGTCAGACTTGTGATGTGTTTCATTCCCGGTCGCCTTATACACGGAGTATAGGATTTTGGGTTGATTTTTAAGGCGTGTACAGGGGGGTCGTCTTATACGTGGGGTCGCCTTATACACAGCGGTATACGGTACTATAATATTAACTGACATCATCATCATCAGCAGAGCATATAAACATGATAACCTTCACTGTCATCATAGTATCATCAACAACAACATAAAAAAACAACACTTTTCTCTAATCTGCAAAATATCACACAAACCTTTGGTAAATCTTTCACAACTTTCACCCCAGTTTTTGAAACTGTGAGTACTGCCATGTGGTCTTTCGACACTCGTAGGATGACCTCTGCCCTCGGGTCATCTGCACTTGGGTTGACTGGACTGGACTGGAGTTGAGTGAAGATGCTGGCTTGAAGATTCAGATCCTGAAAAGATGAGTCATATAGATGTCTGGGAATGTTTGATAATAAGTCAATCTTCACATACTTAACATGGGCGCATTAAGATCTATTTATTGTCTTTGGTGGTAATTTATACAGAAATAAAGATTTTTTTCAAAATAATCTGCCCATGCTTAAGTAGCCCCTCATGGTTTATTCTCCCTGCAGTGTTTTATTGTACGATAAACAACGACCACAAGTTGTTGATATGAGATATCAACATTACTTACGGCCTCTTTAAGGATGTTAGTATTAAGTATTCGCTTTAAAAATATTTACCCGTATTTAAATAATGATGGCTCCATGAATAGAATCCGACTGCCGCAATGTCGGACAAGTCCATTTTATGAACAGGGGGGTAAATTTGGTCTTTCACGAATATTCTCACAATTTTCATGTCATATCTGTTCTACTTTTCGAAGTGATCAGTTGGCTATTGCGTCAATCTACATTATCCAGCTACATCTTTGTGGAACAACTCACACCACAATTTTCTCTAAAAAATAATGTCATCCAATTTACGATGCCATCAAGTTGTGAGCACATGTTCAAATCTCAAAAAATGACGCCACGATAGAACAATGTTTCATCATGAAAATAACACGCTACATCCTTCATTGTTCTTTGGGAGTTATCGCATAGCTATCTTAGATACTACAATATACCATGACAACACATTACAAAACAGTGGCATTGGGCGAATTCACAGAAAAGTTACATATTTATTAAATTGGGACGGAGGCGGTCTTGAAGGAAAGGCCGATATGACACATGTAGTAGACATCTACTACTTCGGATAAATGCAGGAGCGACGCGGACAAACCAAGGATCATAGGTGGTCCTACATGCCAAGGGAGACAACTGTGCAAGTGACTGTGGCACCTCATACTTCCAACAACCACAGAGAAATTCCTGTTTAACAATTTTCCTACCTGCAGCGACTGTGGGGTGAAGGCCTGGCCGGCTGTCAGAGGCAGAATCTGGAGAGACTGGGTTTCTGGCCGGTAACACACAAAGTACTCCTCTCCTGATATAGCGCAGCTGAAAGGAAACATAGCTAATTTACATGGTCCCTCGTTATAACGCTAACCTCAGGGTCCATGGATGAAACCCGCCTTATCAGGCACCAGCGTTCCTAATATAGAATGATAGTCTGATAGTTCAACTAACAAGGATGTGAAGATGTGTGTGCACACATGTCGACATATGTGCATAAATGTGCATGGTTTCTTTGTTTGATTGTTGTTTAACGCCAAACACAGCAATATTCCGGCTATATGACTGAAGTTTGGAAATAATCGAGTCTGGACCAGACAATCCAGTGATTAACGTCATGAGTATCAAACTACGCAAGTCCAGTTTCCACCCATGTTTAACTTGGCTGGAATTTCTGGGCTTGATTGTAGCGCCACCAGTGATTATTACTAGTTATGTCCCTCCTATTGACCAGTCAGATTCCACCTCTCATATCACTCCCATCTGCTTCAAACAAATGGTGGCGCCCTGTCAAGATGATCTAACCGATAATCAAAATATATATTGTGATAGAACGAGTCTTACTTCGCGAAGTGCATCAAATCACGTGATCACCTTGTTAAAAAAAAAACATGAAAAGATTTGAAAAATATCTGTTGGCAGAACACATGCTTTGCAAATCCTGAAATCGCCCGAAATCTGCAAGGCAGTTTACGAACCAGATGTCGCTTTCATTACCCAATTTTGATTTGACTATGCATAGACTTGTTAGTCCATCCAAAATATAACTCCATTATTCCAGCCTAGTTCGGCACGGCTGGAAAGTGGACTTCCATCGTCAGTTAGCTCCTTGCCTCGGGAAGATGACATCTCCTTAACTTAAAAGGCTCCATGGGTAAACACTTAATCATACATACTGCCCATAACACAAAGTAAAATATTATTTGTCTTAAAACACAAAATATCAGAGACAATGACTAAGAAAATCAACGATCATGTGCTCCAACTTCACATACCTCGTCTCCACTGTGATCCACAGGGAAGGAACAGCTCGATGAGATTTCAGTTTCCCTCCCTGTCCGACTGTTACTATGGTAACCTTAGCTTTGGGGGTCACACCGACCAGGATGATGTCATGATCTCGGCTGGCCATGTGCCAATAGTCCACAGTGTCACTGAAATGTCAGGAAGTTTGTATTGTTGGGGATTTTATAATGATTAAGACAAAGGCTTCTTAAAACAGAACCCTGGGAATTTTGGTGAAAACAAATCTAATTCAGTGCAAGAACACTCATGATTTAGTGAGTGAGATGGGTTTAACGCCACTTTTAACACTATTCCAGTTATATCACGGCGTGCCAGCTTAGTGTGGGAGGAAAGCCCAAAGTGATGCATGTCTCAGACGTTTACCACTTCGGTGAAACCCACGGGCACGGGTATGGTGCTGACAAACCTAGAAACATAATCCGGGCAAACTGGGATTCGAACCCACAATCATAGGTTTCTGGCGTGTCCAAGGGAGGCAACTCTGCACAGCGAATCGCGGTGCCTGAGACGACTGGGCCACCCGTGCCCCCTGCACACTCATGACAAATAGATCAACCACTTTGGTGAACCCCAATACGCATGTCTGTCGAAGAATCATGTGACTGCTTCCAGGCCAATGATTATAGCAGAAAACTTGACATTATAAAGGTGACGCTATTTTTCAGAGCATTATCATTTGCAGAAGCCAGAGGTCTTCCATTAACTGCCCGACGAAGGAGGGCTTCTGCAAATGATAATGCCCTGAAAAATAGCATTACCGTTATTATAGCTAAAATAGATAGAATTTGTTTTCAAATAAAAATAAAAAATATCGGTTTTGAAACATTTACTGCAATGACATGAACTTCACTGACCCACTTTTACAAATATGGAAACATCGTAGACCAAACCAGATGACGTCTCTATTGAACGTGACGTCACCTTTCCCTATCCCCATGACGTCACCTAACAACGGGCGTGATAATGGTCCGTCGTCAAGCAATATGAGGGCATTATCAAGTTACAGTGGCCCGCTCATTTCTGATAACGTGCGGTCAGTTTAATGATAATTCTATCCATTTTAGCTATAATATTTAACATTGTTTGTTGTTTACTGCCACACACTGCAATATTACAGCCATATGACAGCTGCCAGTAAATATTTGCGTCTGTCCCATGTCATCGTAGGGACAATGTCACCAAGTCTGACCACCAGATTTCACTTAATCATCTCTTGTGACAGGCAAAGGTTGCTGGGGACCAATTCTAACCCCAAATCTTCACAATGGCGTCCTCTATCTGAGGGAGTTACCTGTTGGGCAGATCCAGTTCCCAGTCTTTGGCCCCATCCGAAGCACGTAGAGCATACAGACCATGGGCTGTTGCCACCACCACACTCTCAGCTGAAACATACAGGGATACTGTGGAAAGGATGTTCGAGTGAGTTGGGTTTAACGCTGCTTTTAACAGTATTCCAGTTATATCACGGCGTGTCAGCTTGATTTTGGAGGAAAGCCTGAAGTGATGCAGGTCTCAGACGTTTACCACTTTGGTGAAACCCATGAGCACGGGTATGGTGCTGACAAACCTAGAAACATAATCAGGGCGAACCGGGATTCGAACCCACGTTCATAGGTTTCTGCCTTGTCCAGGGGACGCAACTCTGCACAGCGAATCGCAGCGCCTTAGACGACTGGGCCACCAATGCCCCAAAAGGATGTTTGAAGTTAGGCAAGAAAGTTAGGGTGTTCCTTACAATAAATATCAAGGTTTTGAGGTCCAGAGATTTCAGTACTTCAATACTATACTAAGCCTCAAGGTCCCTCCACCTCCCTTACCTTTTAACAGAGACCTATATTTAAGGTTGTGCAACTGATACTATTTACATATGACAGCGGTCTGTAAATAATAGAGTCTGGACCAGACAATCCAGTGATTGACATCAATTGAGCATCAATCCACGCAATTGGGATCGATGACATGCATGAACCAAGTCAGCGAGCCTGACCACCCGATCCCTTAGTCGCCTCTTATGACAAGCATGGTCGCTTTTAGGGCAGGCATGGGTTGCTGAAGACCTATTCTACCCCGGGACCTACTTACATGTACTGCACGTGACGTAGGACGACAGGGTCTGCTATCATTGAACCTGATCACACATTCATATTTATATATATTCTGTAGTTTCTATGAGGCTTACTTACAGTGCAAGGAAATGTTTTTTGGAGATCTTAGGAACATGGTCAAAGTGCAAAGGTCTAAATTAAAAATATCACCAAAAAAACTGCAACATATATATATATATATATACTGAGCCCCACAACTAAAATTTCATTACATTTTGAACATAAGTGACAGTAATGGCCGTAATAGGTTTTTCAATATGGCTGCCATGGTGGCCATATTGAAAATGGGATTTAAACCTCTTGAACAAAATTGGATGTCTTCATTAGTGGGAATAAATGTGAAGCTTCAGCTTCATTGGTCCAGTGGTTTCTGCTGAGATGATGTTTATCATGCTTTTGATGAATGATGGACAAAGGAAAACAATAACTTTCAGTCAGGTGAGCTAAAATCAGAACCCACAAAGAACACTCACCTTTAGAACGTCCTGTGAAAACACCAGAGGCTCTGCAATAGAAATTACAGGAAGGGTTCAAGAGAATGTGAGTGACAAATAGCACAATAAATCAGTTGTATCAATCAATCTGAGGGAGGTGAGGTGAAATGGAGTTTAATGTCGCGTTCAAGATTTTTGCACTTATATAGCGACGTGCATGCACGTGTGTGTGTGGCTGCTTGTACTAGACCGGACTGATGCCGATTTATAGTGCTAGCTCACTGAGATACCATGCCGCAGTTTAACATGAATACCCCACTCAGACACAGTATACTGACTCCAAGCCGACCAGTCCTTGTTATAGTCCCTTAATGCCGAGCGCCAGACAGGGTAACAACAAGTACCATCTTTTAACGTCTTTTGGTATGACACAGACAGGGATCAAAACTCGAACTATCCACTCTCCGGGCAGACGCTCTACCACTAGACCACGGAGGCGGTCGCAATCTGAGGGAAAGGTACCTCCATTGGTATGCACGATCATGAACAAACAAATACATTGAACTTCCCTTGCGTATAGCATTTTTGAAAAAGTTTACTATACCATGAGCAAGTGTATGATTAGTCAAAACACAATGTTGTGATTAGGATTAGGAACTGAACTTTTTTTTTAGTGCTACTTACATTTGTAGCAAAGAGCAAAATATGACATGGATACCACACACTGCTAACTTGGCAGTAGTTCTGAAGACATAGCTACCCAGTGGCTCTCCTTTTTGAAAATTAACCAGGCCATAAAAGGCGTAATGTATAAAGTACGTACCTCATGTCTGGTTCCGCCTTCAGCACTGACTCCCATGAGAGAGAGCCAGTAGACGGGTGCCATCCCCGCACCATCTTGCCGCCCCCTGACACTGTCACTAGGGCTGAAACACACAGACACACATCAATAGTCTTTTTGTTTCTTGTTCGAACCTGCAGTCAGCAATATTCCAGCTGTATCATTTTCTATTCATAGCTTTCCATCCTCCCGAGGCAAGGGTGTAACCAAGTCAGCGAGCTTGACCACCCGATCACGTGTCGCCTTTTACGACAAGCATAATCTCCTTTTACGGCAAGCATGGGTTGCTGAAGACCTATTCTACCCCGGAATCTTCACGGGTCGTAAATAATAAGGCCTGGGCCATACAAGCAATGTCCCATGTCTTCTGGGTAAGATGACACCAAATAACCAAGTCACTGAGTCTGACCACCACTTTGTCTCTTGTGAGGGTGTGAGTATGGTTTGGGGCTGCTTTTAGAAATATTCCAGCGATATAGCAGCGGGGAACACCAGAAAATGGCTTCACACACTGTACCCATGTGATGAGCGAACGCTTTAACCACTAGGCTACCCCACCTCCCCCTCCTCTTTTGACAAGCAATAGAAAGCTATGAGTTTATGAACTGGGTTCATGTAGTAGAGGGCAACTGGATGATAAACATTTTATTTTGGAGGTGAAATCCACAAGCATTCCAAGGCATTCCTAGGATAATAACAAGGGTGAAACCAAGGGACACAACTCTGCACAATGAATTGCAGCACCATAGACCAATGGGTCGCACATACAGGGAGGTCACACGACAACAAACACACTGACAACAAACTGGTTCAACTCACAGGTTCCCTGGTGAAGCACCATGTCCATATGACCTCTCTTGTCATCTTCAAACACCCGTCGCCAAACTGAAACGTGAGAAACAGGATACTTATTACTGCTTTATTATTTTGGGGGGGTATTTAGCATATTTTGAGTCTATTAGATTTTGTTTTCTATAAAATAATTCTACTTCTCTGTTGTTACAGATAAATTCAAATTAGCATGTGTTCATGTGCTACCCTTAGTGGTTGGTTGGTTTGTTGTTTAACGCCGCACTCAGCAATGTTCCAGCTATATGACGGCGGCCTGTAAATAATCTAGTCTGGACAAGACAGTCCAGTGATTGATATCATGAGCATCGATCCACTCAATTGGGATCGATGACATGCTTCATCCAAGTCAGCGAGCCTGACCACCCGATCCCGTGAGACGCATAACCTCATAACTGTGCTTCCTGTCTAAGTTACAACAAGTGAGATGTTGCATATCCAAATAATTTGTGCATTATTCACTGCAGTAGAGTTCATGTATACGTGATTCCTGCCTTCAGTCAGTAAGGAAATATCTGTTGTTTGTTTTTCCTCAAATGCCGCACTCAGTTATATTTCGGCTTTATGATGACAGTCACATAAATACAGTAGTCAAGTCTGGGCCAGACAATCCAGTGATTCACAGTGAACATGAGCATCATCAATCCACACAATTCGTATGTGATGACATGCATCAACCAAGTCAGCGAGTCTGACCACCAGATCCTCTTAGTTGCCTCTTACAACAAGCATAGTCGCCTCTTACGGCAAGCATAGTCGCCTCTTACGGCAAGCATGAAGAAGACCTTTTCTAACCCGGACCTTATTGAGATTACATAAAAAAATAAAAATTTTCCCAAAAATGTTCGAAAAAATAATAATGCTTGCTTGAGACAATTGAAAAAAAAGAAAGAATTTTTCTGCCACAAAAATAACATTGTTGCAAGGTGTTTGTCTTTCAAATAAAGTCACGCTCATAGTTTTAAAAAAAAAAATGTTTTTTATAGCTGCAGCTGAAAAAATATCTCCAAACAAAATCCCAAGCCACCCTGAATATCAAATGGTTGGTCCCTTGCACTGTTGAGTGTAAATAAGTCACCTATGCTTCCATTGTTGGCATGTATGGAGGCGAGTACATTCTTCTCTGTAGACACAATGAGCTTCTTCCCACTTGATGACTGGTCCCAGAACATGTGCAGTGGTTTCCCCACATACGACTGCTTCCTGAAAGAAACATTGTAATTGCTAATTTATTAGGTGAGGTGAGGTGAAATTGGGTTTAACGTCGCGTCCAAGATTATTGCACTTATATAGCGACGTGCTAATTTATTAGGAGTAAATATGAGTCACATAAATCATACTAAACAATAAATAAACATCATCCTTGATTTAGTCAAAATAGTAAATATCATCAATACTACATGGGTTTATTCCAGACACAACACTACTCCATTACTGAATAAGGAAGGCTGATCTTGCAATGTAATTGTGATGCATTTTTAATAATCTAAACAGAGCTCCAGATAACTTTTTGAGCAATTGAGTTTTTACTCTAGGGTTTCTATTTTAATTGGGTTATTACATTTTTCATTGGATAACCAATATTTTTTCACTCATCTAGTCATCACTCTATTAGGTTTTTCCCTAAAGCAGTGAACATTTTAAAATTTTTAAAAAATGAAATAATGTTTGACATGTATTAAACTGTTCTAAATATGTAGGCTTGACTCGGAAAGAAAATTAGCTTGTAATTGTGTTTCGGAAATTAGCTCCTTTGTACACATGCTGAAAAAGCTTCATTGGGTATTTACACGAGCTGTTTTTTTCATTTGAGTTTTTCATTTAATGCATGCGTTTCTGTACGCAAGTTAATTGAAAGTAATTGGGTTTTGAATATTTTTTAATTTATTTTTTTTCGGGGGGGGGGGGGGGGGAGTATTTTACACAACTACACTGCTTATCTGTAGCACTGGCTGAAGAAATGAGGCAATGCAAAACTCATGGAAGTCATATGAACCCTACACTGTGCATGAATTTGTGAGACCCCTACCATTGCCTAATACTGAAGCAGTGTGTAGAGTAGAAGGCTGCAACGTTGTGGCAAGTTGCACAAGAACACTGTGGATGTAATCTGGCAAGTTATTGGTCTGATGACACACGGGTCAGGTCACAATTCGTTGGTTAGAATTAGTGACTACACCGGAAGGCTGTCATTTGTATTCACAGGTAATGGAGGAATGTAGTGAGTGAGTGAGTTTGGTTTTACGCCGCTTTTAGCAATATTCCAGCAATATCACGGTGGGGGGGACACCAGAAATGGGCTTCACACATTGTACCCATGTCGGGAATCGAACCCGGGTCATCAGCGTGATGAACGAACTCTTAAACCAGTAGGCTACCTGACCGCCCCGAGGAATGTAGTGTTAACAAACCACAAAATATTGACAATAAATATTTATAGGTATACTCACTGCCAAAATAAATGTGAATACCATACATGATGTTTAATATATGAAGAATCACTCATATTAGAGATATTAGATTGGTTTCATGCACAAGCGAACATACTGGTATGGTGTGTGAACTGACGCTCATGAACACATATGACATCATAGATCCATAACTCGAGATGCACCATTTGTCTCGTACAGGATTAGAGTGTAAAGTTTGCAAATCATGTGCAGCATTTCGTGATTAGAATAAAGACACTCTCCTTAACACCCGAATGATTGTTAGTTTTGTCTGTGTAGACAAGTCAGTATCAAAATCGTTTATATGGAGCAGCACAGAGACAGAGTTACTGCGGCTAACTTTTCTTATTGGGACGAACCGTACACCCAAGTTATGACAGAGAACAACAATGATCAACCGAACCAATGAGGGTATAGGCAAATGCAGGTACTTGATCATGTTGATAGAAGTTGATTCTATCATACTCCATGATCTACCTCTGAAGCGTTGATTGGAATTGGAAATAAATGCAAATAATAAATGAATAGTGCATTACTCCTTCTGCATCTGGTATGATCAACCCTAGTAAGTACGATTTAGGACAGTTTACTCTTCACGCTATTAGGACGTTGGAGCTGAGTTTGATTCATGCAAAACAGCATCATCATCCAACCGGCAACATTTTGGTTCTGAGCTAAATTAGGTCACAGTTGATGTAATTGGCTAAAATTGCCACATTCTATGCCATACCAATCAAACTTTCCAACTTGATCCTCAAAGAGACCAAAAGCCGATGAAATCAGCAGCAGAAGTTGGCAAAGCTTCTTAGCACATGCAGCCGCCATGTTTGCAAATAACTAAGGGAGACAACTCTATCATACGTAAAAAAGAGTAGACTTCCTGTGTATTTGATATGGCGGTGCCCAGTTATGTGTAATCTGGGATAGGCTAAAGTTTACGTTATCTCAACACGCGTGAATGCACTATGCCTCTTAATCACAGTCATAGTAAAACAGATATCTGAAGCACCCGTTCACCGTTAGGTAAGTGGAAGAAATGATTGCGAATGACCCGAAGTTGTGGTTTGATTTCAGATTCACATTCAACAGTTGAGTAAACTGCCTCTTCACGTTTAAAAACAAATGTCAGTTTGCCCATAATTTGTACGTATAACCTATCTCTTGCCTCCCACATTAACCCATGGTAAGGCACCATGTATCATCGATTTGAACCGTGATTCCAATGCATACGCGGGGAAATCGTTTTGGATTACAGATTATTTTAGTGTCACTAGACCCGATTTAGCTGAGTGATTGTTTATCATGTTTATGTTTATTATGTTTGTTTGATTGTATATATATGTCTATTTATGAGGAACAGTTACATTTATTGATGTATTATTTCTCAATTTTGTACTGATTTTGTTGAATGTTACCTGAACTGAATATTAACAGAAACAGGCTACAACTAGACTATGTACACACCTTAGGATAGAAATATATCCTTTGTTAAAATATTTTAGACTTATTTTGGTGTTTAATTCTCTCTCAGTAAATTAGAATTGTAATATTGAATATGACTGATTTTGTAACTTGGCTCCAAGTACATAATCATACATGGTATTCTGAACGATTGGTATTTACATTTTGATATACATATCCGGGTAATTTATTGTTTTGAATAGCTGAGAAAACAAACTATTCTTATGGTCATGATATCATGAATAAGGACATGTTCATGATCAAATATTTCAGTTGGTCTAATTGTTTTTGGATTTTTTTATGGCAGAAGAAACTATTAGAAAGTTGGGAATAGTAATTAAGATAAGTCCTTTATCAATAACAAATTTCCCTCTTTCAAACCTTTTTTGTTTTGTGTAATTATGTTACAAGGTTACAATCTTGTATATGGTATGAACTGTGATATTTGTTGCTTTATTTCTGTAGAATATTATTCATACAGTTTAGCTTAGGGGTGGCACGGTTGATGAGCAGATAAATCCTGTCTGTTGACAGGTTATAGCTCTTATGTCAGCTGTGGTTATGGACTTAGAAGGGAGATAACTCTTCACACACTACAAAGTGTCTTCATGGTATTCGGAAAAGATTGATGTCTCTGCATATAATATTACAGGAATCATGCACCAACTTAGCAATTAAGTATGAGTGTTTAACATTTCCTTTTAGTTCCAGTGTTCACATGGTCCATGTTATTATATCATGGCCACTTTTAGCTAAATTTCACTTGTATGTATTCTGGTCCTCATGCTTGTCATAAGAGTTGACTAAAATGGCATGATGCATATGGGCTTTAAAAGGCCATGACGGGATCGGGTGGTCAGGCTCCCTGACTTGGTTGAAGTATGTCATCGATCCCAATTGTGTGGATCGATGCTCATGATGTCAATCACTGGATTGTCTGGTCCAGACTTGATTATTTACAGGCTGCCGTCATATAGCTGGAATATTGCTGAGTGCGGCGTTAAACAACAAACCAACCAACTAAAAAGGCCATGAATTCTCAGGTCTCTCTTGAAAAGGCTTGAATTTTTGTGTTCCATATCTGTATGAACCTTGAATGGCGGTTGGATTTTCAGGCTCATGCTCTCAGTCAGCTTTTATCTCTTCATCACAGAGTTATTTCTGATGTAGTGGTAATACTGTCGACCACAGTGTAAAACCACATTCACTCACTCATTTCCTTTCAAACGGCTTCCCCATTGGGATTCCGGGTTAGAACTGGTCCCCAGAAACTTATGTTGATTGTCTTGGTTGATAACATGTCCTCATACCTTCCCCAATGTTGTGGATCGTTGATCACAATATCGATCACTGGTTTGTGGTCCAGACTCAATTATTATTTCTTATTATTATTTAATTGTTCGCTGTCTTATTGCTGGAATATTGCAGCGCTAAACAACAACAAACAACTTGTAGAAGATTGTGCTAGAGGTTAAAGTTGCAGAGTGTCAATCTTCAAAATATTGTACCCAGGGTTAGGCACTAGTTCAGTTAGTCCCAAGACATGTTGTTGGGCAGTTAAGCAACATCGGTTGCAGAGAGTCGTTGGATGGGTGACTGCGTTTTGGCAGCTTGCTTCTGAGAGTTTCTTGGGCTTCAGTCCCACACTGAAGCACATGTAACATGTGTGGTGTCTCCTTGGGCATGTGACTTTGTTCGAAATGTGCCTCTGTTCACCCAGCAGTGAATGGGTACCCGGTAGGATGAGATGGTAATGTGGTTGATAACCTTCTAGCGCCTAACATGCAGCTTGTGTTGTATACTCCCCAGGGAGCTGAGAATGATTATTGTGCGCACCCTGATCCAGTGACCGGGGTACCGTATTTGACGTAATAAGCGCCCAGGGCGCTCTCAAAATTAGAAATAGGGGGCTCTTATTAAAATATTATTTTGGTGAAAAAAAACAGAGTTGAAAGATAAATTTCGTGGCTTATGCTGACAGCCTGAAATGTTTATGTACGGCAGATATATTTTTCCAGAATTTAATTGCCCATAATTAAGGGTGCATATAACACAGGTGTGCGTATTATACGCGAATGAATAAGTCTTGTTTATATTGATCAATCGGAAGGGGTGCTAACTGGGATTGTTCACTAGCCAATATGTTAGCAAATATCGCCATGGGCGCTTATTATGTCGAATACGGTAATAATAATAGTGATCTCTGAGCATGTCACTCAGTGGTGTGGAAATATGCGTAATATAAATAGCATATTATTATTATGTGAAAATCAGGCAGGATTTTTTCTCACCAGATCTGGTAATGCCTAGTATACTCTTGTGAAATTGCAGAAAGTGTGTGAAAATCAAGTAATGTACTACATCCACTGCACAGCTCTGTCCTGTTTACAGACTGTGCCTACAGTCTAGTTAACAGCTTGCCAAATATGACAGATTATATTTCAAGGAGATACAAAACATTTGTGATGTGAACTTAGTACCTCTTAGTTATAGGCACCAGATTTGTATCTTTATGGTTATATGATACTGTCTTGTGGCAATATCCGCAATGCGTGAAGAAATCTGGCCTGTCTGCTGACCACACCTAACTGACCTGCTGGCAGTTTGTTTACAAAACAGGATCCTTCTTAGTTCTAGATTGGGAATTATTGGGAATAGATCTGCGAATTGCGTAAGGTGCATTACCTAACCAAGCCGAGCTGTGGTGATAAAATAGGAAGTTCTAACCATACTGGAAGTTGCAATCAATGATGCTTTACTTCAGATGTGGATGAAAAATAGAAGCCTAAAGTTTGAGATCAAAATGAGATATATTACCGTTACTACACAACAGCAGAGTCCCAGCATTTGACAAGCCATAGTTCCAGGGCTTTGAAGATATTTAATCTGATTGTTCAACTTCTTTGACACCCTTAACTATTGGACTAGACATGAAGTACCAATCTCATTAAAATCAGATATTAGTTTTCGCTACCGCTTAACAAAGATCTGAGGACATCCCATTACGGGTCACGTCAGAACGACCTTTCGCAAATTTTGACTGACCAATGAAATGACTGACAAGAAATCAACATTAGCCAATCAGAAGGCAGCTTTCTTGAGCTTTGCGACACTAGTTTCAAACTGGCGACTACGCTTCGAAACATATTTTGATGTAGTCTCGATTAAAAAAATTAGAACTGATAAGAAGAACACCCTGGAATGGCTTATAGATGGCCTAGATTGTGTGGATATAATCATAAAAGCCGTAACTGTCGTTCGGAATACCCCATGTTAAATATTTCGTGGTTGCATGATTAGAAAACACATTCCGACTGTCACTTTGATGATCTGGTAAGCGACGCTCTGATTGGTTGGATGAAAGGTCGTTCTGACGTGACCCTAAATGGGATGTCATCAGATCTTTGTTTAGTGATAGTGAGAACAAAGATCTGATTTTAATGAGATTGCATGAAGTACTTGTGTACTTTCCCACCATCCACCAGCAACCACCTGTCCATGAGTTCCACTTGATAAGCATTGTGATGGACAAAATGATGGAGGAGTCTGTGTCAAGAAATTTTGAATCTGCCTGGTTGAAAAGACATTTGAATGTAAAATAACTAATATTTAATTTCATTTATGCCACAAAAGAAATATTTTAGTTAGCCGTTTTGATCAAGCCGTTTTGTTCTATGTATTGTGTTTCAAAAATAATGATTACTCCCGGTTGTGTTTTGCGAGCTCCAGCGATGAGCGTCAGTGACCCATGATGGTCAAATGTGTGAGAATTTCTGTGTGTTGCAGAGAGTTAGCGGCTGAGCACTAATCTTCAGGTATAAAATACTGTTTTTTGTTAAATATATTATCATGTCACATTTACGGTAAATGGGAATTTTGGAGCGAGTTAAATTTAGGGAGAAATCCTTGTTTCAAAATGTAATGTAAACTTTATTGGGGATGATTTTTGGGTGAACATTATGAATGTTTGAATACTTTTCAAGAACTGTAATTGATTTATTTCCTTCATTATCACTAAAGAGTATATTCATTTTATTCTTCAGAACATATTTAATGTTACGAAGGACTCGGCCAATAAAGAGTTGTGAACACTAACTTCTCTTCATCATTTGTACCACTGCCTTCCCAAACTTGTATTTTGCATGGTTTTTTTTTCTAAACACAACACAATAAGCGTCCAGGGCGCTCTCAAAATTAGAAATAAGGGGCTCTTATTAGAATATTATTTTGGTGGAAAAAAACGAGAGTTGAAAGATCGTAAATTCAGTGGTTTATGCTGATAGCCTGAAATATATTTTACCAGAATTAATTGCCCATAATTAAGGGTGCATATAACACATGAGTGCGTATTATACACGAATAAATAAGTCTTGTGTACATTGCTTAATGGAAA